AAACCATCATGACAAATACAATTTTGTTGTACGGCGACACTGTGTGTATGATAAAAATTGCATGGGAACTGTGATTTACACACAGCCAGATATTCATGTAATCTACACACTTATATGTATACATGTACAAAATATTTATTCGTAGTGAAAGATTATGTCTAATGTATATAAATGAAGCAGTTCTCTCTGCTATAAAAATCACAGTTATTAAACATTAATTCAATGTATGTATATTCGCGTATATAGTAACAGCTAAGTCGATTATTGGTGTTTATGATTGAGGTTAGAGGTTAAGCTAATTTTGCAGCCACTTGTTCATGATTGATCATGGTGATCACTGAGCACTGAAACAGCACATATATGACATCATAACATGTAATAATAATGATATAACTGTCATCCTGTGTAGGTCTATTGAGAATATTATATACAGAACATCTTATATAATGCACACAAATTGCAAATTACAGATGCATTGTTTTACATGGGTTATAGTTATGGGCTGTATAATCTCTAAGCTATGTACACTGCTATGTGACTCGCTTACTGGCACACGTCAAATCAACACTGTTGGTGTCATAATGGAGACAAAACTCACATTATCATAATCAGTGTCGGTTTTATTATTTTTTAAATCATTGTACATTCAGCGTATGAGAGACAGACTAATTAAAGCATTATGATGATTGGTATAACGACCGCACTTTAACGAAACTTGATGAAGCCTAATCTGTTAATCGTTTAAAAAAAGAATATCATAAGAAAAATCAGCATTTCATAACGTTTCGTTCAGTAAAACCTGTCGTTTACAATTGTATTTAGATCTCCTGTAACTTAAGTGCCAGAGATAACTTACACATACTTTTAACAGACAAAAAAGTGTGACGAAGTTTTATCGGTCTGAACATCACACATTAGTGAAAAGTGTGAATTATTACAAAAAATTCCAGACTCGAGAGTTACATCGGTCAAGAATATGAAAATGAAGTATGAACTTAAAGATATTACAATATAAGCATAATTGACTTTTTGCCGACATTTTGGTTGCTGTCAAGCTTAATCTTAGACTACGTAAATGGTAATATAATGAAACGTACAAAGCAATGTTAAAATGCACATTTGTAAATAGCATCTTACAAGGCACATATAGCATTAGATGCAAGATACGCTAGGTAATAAGTCGAACAATCGAACTGTTTCAGCCTGCTCTAATTTGTCCTTGATGCTGGGTGCCACATCAGCGAAAATAAATTGATGGCTAGTTCAGAAAGACACAAACAGCCAAAATAAGTGTCAAGTTTACAGATATGAAGGTGAACATGTTCCATTTTCTATATATAGAATGAAATATGGTTTATAAGTGACATCTACATGGATGTAGTAAGGAGAGAAAAATAAAATATTCATGTCCTGTTGCTACATTCCAAATAGCTAAAGGAGTCATTTACATAATGTTTCAATGTATCGAACGCCAGGCCTATTTTCCCAACAAAATCACCGATCCATTATTCATTGAAACCCGGACACCTGCGCTGAGAGTCCGGTTTGTGGTTTACTCATTAGTTGGCTGTTTATTTGTGATGACGGAATGACAATGCATGTTTAACCATTGAATATACAAGCAATTTGTGTTTTTTGCCTCATAACAACAACTTAGGTTATTTTAAGATGTAAATGATGTCCGTGGACTTTAGGATCACTCAAGAGGGCTTTTATAGTGTCATCACACTGTAAAGTCATAACCTGGTCTCGGTAAAAAAATATTCCTGCTTGAGAAAAGTTTATAGACTCTTGTTAATCTTTGTAAACATTTTCAGATATTTTCATATTATCTCTACTTACATGCGAAAATTTACTTTTATGTTGTAAAAGTTAAACTTACATAAGATAATGTAAATGTATAACATACTGTTTAAAATTGAGTATTCCGTGTATATCGAGAAAAATCAGTGTATGTGACAATATCCATGTCTGTACCCCAGGAAAGTCATATCTGATTAGTTAGATATTGCAACTAACATAAATTATTCCTGTCCTGGAGTATTTTACACCCAAAGTCCCCGTAAAACTAACCACATGGGTACCCTGAGGTGGATTACAGATCAGGACGTTCTTAACACATGGCTTGTCTGTAAAGTGACGTACTTGTTACAGTCACTGGGCTCCAGGATAGGGTCACATGACCCTATCTGCGGCGACTTGTCTTACCAGTTCGTGTATCATATTAATATTGCACGGGAGCGATGACAAGCAATGTGACCATCTGTGTTAATGTACACGTGAGGTTATATAAACATGATAAATAAAGCTTCACGTTACGATTTGGGTATATGATTATATATAAAAGCATTTTCAAACACAGTACGACTTAAAACTAAACACCAATGACACTAGACAGCCTCTAAATCATACTAATAAAATACAGTGTTGCATTAATACGGTAAAAAAACACGTTCTCAAAATGAGAACTGGGGTAACGACAACGAAACAATAAAAATAAAATAAAGAGAGCCAAATCCCTGTCAATATGTCACGCAAAAGAACAAAACACGACATAGTCAATGAAGAAATCAATGTAAGCTTCCTAGATATTTTCCCATTCCAAATACATTTTGTGAAATACAAGTGTGTCTTTGACCCTTTGCCCATTACAACTTTTACAGTATTTCCCTGTGTCATGTGATAAGACACAAGTCTCCTCTGTGTCAGTGTCTCAAAACTGGGACGAATATTTTATTTGTTTTTAATTAAGTGTTCTCCCATTAATACAAGGTCGTGTATCTGACAGCCTTTACATGTCTTAAAGCAAGTTCAGGAAATTCCGAATCAACGCCATGCATTTATTCTTGCATTGAGATTGATAAATATATTTACTATCGAATATGTCTAAATAGACCAATGGAAGAGCGAAGAAAATAGACATGTGCCCTCTATATAGATGTCCAATAACTGTGAATTTTATAACATTGGGATCAGAGATAAGTGGCAGTTATAAGACAGGTCATATACACATGCAGCTTCTGAAACAGATTATCTTTATGGCAAAAGGAATATATCAGTTTTAGAATTTAGAAGGAACAAAATGTCTATTGTTAAACAATAGATGTAGTGACACACAGGCATTCATGTCATTCACGTTTATTAGATTTTACAAGTGGCATGAATCCACAAACCCTGGTTACTGCCAGATGTATTGAACACTGTATAGTTTCGTCTCTTAGGCTATTCTAATATCATGCCACAATCTTGTCCCTAGAGCATTTCCATTATCATAATCTTTCAAATTCTTGTAAATAATCTTTTTACATCCCGATTATCATTGCCTTTTAGACGCTTGTCAATAAATATATGTGTCGTAGTTATAATGAATTGTCATATTTTACTGGTATGTTCCGACGCTATTGTAGTTTTACTTCAAACATATTTTATTGCCGTTAAGCAAAAGGATTGGTTACAATAACATCATTAACGCCCTTTCTTTTATAGTATATCAGAATGGTTTTCATATCATGACAAGACACACGTGCTTGACAACCCTTTGGCGTTGTTGTCAATAGTGGAATGACTTACGGAGACTTTCCCTTCAGGCAACGGCTTACGATCCTGAAGTCGCTAGTAAAAGATAGGTTATCACCAGATCTCACAATGTCCCTGGTATTCTTTTGTCTGGTTTATATCATAACCTGGACAGAGATTTCCGTAACTAAACCGGAAATAGCTTATGTCCCTATGCTATTTTGACTAATGACACTATAAACATAATATCTTTGTTTAATTTGTAATTCAAATTAGGTACACTTCATTCATTACATAATATAATGCGCATTGTTGTGACATTACACTATCGAGATTACAGTTCGGTTCTCATTAGCCATATGTGCACTTCAATGTACCATCCTGAGGGTGTTACGAACGGTTCAATGAACTACTCGAGGAGGTGAAATAAGTAAGGAATATACAGTAGTGACGTATCTATTGGAGGGATGAAAGATATGCTGTCACGATCAGTTATTCAGATATTTATTCAAAATTGATCTAAAACACTTTTCATGCATCGTGAACTGGTTCCGTTTCATCAATAATCACATATCAATTTCAGCTTCAGTCGTGTAAAATGGTATTTTAACACGATCACGTGAACGTGAACTTCTTTGTTGACTGTATACATCTTTTTGACAATATTGGGAATTATTTCCTGACCTTTAATTCAGATTTGACGGTCAAGTATTGAGGAATGTGATATTTTACTTAATGAGTAAACGAATAGCACTCTTCAACCAAAATGGAAATATTTAAAAGCCATCTTTAACTGATTCAGTTTGTTTTGTCAAGCTGATGAAGACGAGTGGTTCAGCCTCAGTTGCCTTAGGGTAGCTTTGCTCGAGATATGTTCAACAAATGACCATTGCAACGTAAACGACTTGATATAGGTAGGGCAGTAGTTTACCGTATATAAATCACATGATGTCTGACTCAGACATGCACCAAATATCACTTTATTTACACACCGTCTTGCTAATAGTGTAGAGAGTCTCTTTCATAAACTCATATTCATGTGTTTGTGAATTATAAATATTTTATCAAAGAAAAAGCCTGCTCCTTGTCAACTGTGGTGTGTTAAAGCGATCATAAAACTCGATTGCGTAAGCAGCAGGCTTGACATTGCTACATACATTATTTTCCTCTGGTAATGACATCGTGTGCGATAGTGTTCAAACCAACATTATATGTCCTCTTATATATACACATCGCGATGTATTATATTTAGGTCTATATTCAATAATATAATAAACAGTCATACTATTAGGAAGAGCAAAGAATATGCTCCATGAAAACTGAACAAAAATAATATAACATTACAAAAAAAATTTACTAAAAGAACGAAAAGACTCATTAAGTTATTAAAATGATTTAAACATTAATCAAAAATGGAAAAAAATAAATTACATCACATACGAGTTTGTTCTTTATACAGATGTAATAACTAAGCTTTAGCCTACCTTTGGAGGATGGTTTGGAAGTCTGGCACCACACAAACTCCGTGAATATGATACCAACACAGAGTGAAATCAGTATTCTGTTACGGAGTGCCATGTGGCCTGTTGTGTACATACAGGACCATACGACACACTCTAACTGCTTTACTAGCACGTTATATCCCCGCTAGTTATAGGTATTGATAGTTACAATCGTTGGTAACATCCATATAGATATATCCAAGAGAACGGAATGTTGTAAAAAATTCTGTATTTGCACTTGTAATTGTAGTTTTTCCTTACACAACTCCAGCCTTAGCCGTCCACTTATAGGATCTAGGAAAGCCTTCCAGTTACCTGATTGAGGCGATACGCTTCGCTGAACGCAGGTGTCAAGCTAGTGTAAAAACATGCAACCGATCATGACACCAACAACGACTTAGAGAGATAGGCGTAACTGTTCAGATGCGACTTTTCGCCTCTTATCATACCACTGTGATTGCCAGCATATATCGACTAAAATGATTAGAGTTTAGTATGGTATACAGGTACGGTATATGCATTGGCCTGTAGCCTCCAGTGGCCTCGCGACTGCTCGAGCAGATCAGTGATAAAAAGTATGGACCTCGGGCATACTGATACACCTCCGGCCAATCACTGGTCAGTCACTTTACCTTTGACCAGGAGATGACATGTCGTATATAGTCAGATAAAAAAAACAAGTGCCAGACCCCTCTCGGCATTAGACGGTCCTCGCCAAACATCAAACAGATTTTATATATCTTGGGATTATTCAATTGTTCTAAACATATGTCATTATCGTTCTGCAAGATCAGATGACAAAGATACAGAATAGGTGATGTATACCTGATGAGAGACCTATCATCAATTATATGCAAGAAGACAAACATGGGCCTTGGGTAAAGCTTAGAAAACATATCTTTTAAATAGTCAATTTCAATCAGCTGTCAAAACCAGTTGAGGCTGGTTGTATACAAACAAAGGAAGAAAAAAGTAAAAATGTTTTCAAACGTTGGAAGCCAAGACAGTCATGTTAATAGTAGAACATATTAATGAATGTATGAAATTATAAATAGTGTATTCGTACAACCGATAGTCCAATGATCCCCCAAGGTAGGGATTAATATATGATCAATTGTCTATGCAAACATTGCTTCCACGCTGTAGTAAAATAATTAAAACATATTGACTGTAAAGAAAATCAGTTTTTTTTATCTCAATTATAAATCATAACTTACCAATCGTGAATTGAATTTCCGTTTTATCAGACAAGAAACGACAATAAATCTTAATAATGAGCACTTGATTTCCGAAAATAAATGTTATTGACGTTGATATCTTTGTGAGAGGCAGAAAGGTCCACAAAAAGATTGCGTCATTCCTATATTTAATAATTCTATTATAATAAAAGAAAATTACCGGTATACATTTTTTAGATTAATTTTGCATGTGATTGTGTTTTAATCAGATTCATAATAATATACATTAACTATGAACTGAGACGTGAAAATACAAAATAAAATAGAACCAAGGAGAACATACCGTCAACTATCATGGGCAACCTGGAACAGAAAGATTGTACATTAAAAACTATCAGCTACCGAGGAAACCTTCATCTACCATGGGCAACCTGAAACAGAAAGATTCTACAGAGTAATATCACAGCCAGAAAGGAAAATTACCTGTCGTGAAATTAAATCACATCAACAGCTTAGACATAATTGAAATTAATTACTGCACAAAATGGCGTTTCATAAAGCCACACAATAGAAAAGTTTTAAATGATAGTATATACATATGATTAACAGGGATGTTTGAGGTATTTAATTAATAAAGGTATATTAATTAGAATGGGTTGAGAGCAAATTCAATTTTGGTTTATGTATTAAGAAGCGCCTGATAAAAGACATTTTTTACAAATAGGTGTATTTCCACAATCATGAAAGCAAATATTCAAGTCAGATAATATACAGCGTGTAACCTGATAAGTACAGCACCGGTGAATCTACACATTACATCCTGCGCTGTTTCTAATCAAATGCGGGTAGGATAGAAATTTAAGATCAAATGATTACAAATTAGATAAAGGAACGAAGACTATCTTCAAAATCTAGAGAGACATCAAAACATTTTATTTTTTTTAAATTTTAAATGGTTACTTCGTAAAAGTTGACATTGATACTAAAGACTGGGGAATCAAAACCTTTGAAAAATCATGTTTCAAACAGATGCCTGGTCATAACATGCAGCAAAACAATAATAAACAACAAAGAATGATTCATTCCCCCCTCCCCGTATTATTTTCCCTCGTGTTGTTTTTTCTAGGGTTTAGGTAGATGGAATCTTTCCATGGTGGACTTGAAAGACAACGGAATAGTAAAGCGACAGTAAGGAAGGTAGAATGTATTTGTGAAGGTATTGTTTGTAAGCAGCAGCGGTTATGTTAAGAATAAACCTTGTCCGCAGTTGTCTCTTTCATAGTTTAAGTAACAATATCGGGGCTCTGATGGTAATTTTGTATAAAGTAGTATGGTCTATGATTGGTTAGATTGACCAGAAGAAGCTCAACAACTTGTCTACTAAACAGAAAATGAACACACAGCAAAATCGTTCTGACAAAGGGGCAAATGTGATTTTAAGATCTTGAACGTAACAAAATGGAAGAAATATCGCTTTGATTCCAGAAGACAGTTACATAATAATCGCAGGCAAATTATATGATGTCAATGGTTGTAACATCTTCACCAGTAAGTCAGCATTGTCGCTTCAAAATCAGTGTGTCGTGGATGTTTAGATAAATATCACGTACCATTCTATTCAGTAGTCTCGATAGAATTCTTTATATTCATTTCTAAGGCCATCCTATTGTGTCGCTTGACATCAAATGCATTAGTCTCTACTGTTCCGTGTATACATATAGATCACCTTATAAGATAGATCGGTAGGTCTCAGCAATAATGTATAGCTGAACACCCTTCTCTGTGTACATTGTACAACATCAACTTTCAATTGCATAAATAATGTTCGGGGTATATTTAGAAGAAAATTCAGGGATTAAACTGACTGAAACTTACTTTGCTGGCATGAAAACATTGTTGCGCGATCAATTAATGAAAAATATAATTTCTCATAGTACCATTTTCACAATGGCGAATGTCGTTGTGGATGTAGAGGGCGCTTTGCCAAACTGGTCTTATTTTCTTCTTTTTTTTTTTTTTTTTTTTTCCTTATTTTCAAAAGTCCTCGTTTAAATTATTTCTTTGTTCATTTTGGTCACATTTTAGCGATTGGAGTCAAATAACTTTTCTAAATATTTTGCTGACAGGACTGAATATTCTCTGTTTGGATTTTGTTAAGATAGCATGTCTTGCATATTGCATTATTTCGGATTGAAATAGACAATATGTGAATATTATATTTCATCAACAATCGCACACTTGTATGCCAAATCTGAATTTAAAGTCCAAATTTGTATCCTTAAATCAACAAAAGTAAAACATCTCGTGTCGTACCAGATTTTCGGCTATTCTATTTTTCAAAACAGTGTACGTAATTATGCTGTTTAAAAGTCTAGTATAATGTATTTCATTGATAGGTTTGACAGAATACTGAATATATGTAACGTTTATCTAAATATTCTGTTAAAACCATTTAATTTGCTATTTATAAATGAATTCCTCTTAAATGAGCTATGCTATAGACTCAATTACTTTAAAGTACTAAATCAGCTGTGCATCTCAATGACGTCAACATTGCCGTGCACACTATTTTAAACGAGGTGATCCGGCAATTATTTTTCTAAACATTTGTTTCCAATTTTTTAGAGGTGAAGTTAAAAGAAAGCTTTTATTTAGTAAATATTCAAAAGATTACTAAAACAGACATTGAGATTGATGGAATTTGCAAAATGAACTTTGCCTGTAGAGATGCGAAATATTGAACAGTAAGACATTTTATAAAAATTTCTGTTATTTCGCCCTTCAGCAATGTGTAACTTTCTGAAATCGAAAGACTCTTATCATTTTCAAATTTGAACGATATTAGTATCATAACTTGAATGGAAAAAGAAAGGCACTGGGCACTATTGTATCAAACTGAAGTCGGATATAGAAACGTTACATTTTTTTTCAGTACCGTTTTGAATCAATCATATCTAAGTTATATTCACTAAGTTTTCATTAGAAAAATCGACAAACTAAAAGTTAGTTACAGTCAGACAGATGATGTACTCCCTTAATTAACATTATTAAATACTGGACACTCATTTATTTCCGTTTGATAATTGAATAATCAATTCAATAAAACGATTCTCTATTATTTTGGATTTTGTATGCGAACAACTTAAAACTTAATGACAGCAATTCTAAGTTACAATTACATATAAATAGCATTTTATCATGTTTTCCTTAGTGCCGTGAAAGGCCTGAATATTAGTGACTACGAGAAAGCCGAAAAAACATGGGATACACCCCAACAAGTTTATTTACTTCAACATGTCTGCATTTCTACGACACAGGTGGTATACACTACTAAAACAGAACAAAATGAAAATAGAACAAAAATTTATATCGCTTTGAATCCCGAAATTAGTCTGTACAGTGTATCTGCCCCACAAGACATGTAGAGTTATCTCCCTTGTTCGTCGAGATTTAGTTTCAGAACAGGAGGGAAATGTTTCAACATTTATACAGATCTGAATGTGAAACTTAGTATCGAAGGAAAAATGTACTGATCTTGAATAAGATGCGAAATAGTAGAATTGACATTTAATCTGTATCTAAATCAGACTAAATGCGTGTCAGTCTGAATTTTGTAAACTCAGATGGGTAGTGATAGCCACATAAATCCCATATGAGTTTAGTATTTTATTGCAATACATGTATATGGCAATGACATTGAGCGAACTGACCATGAGAAGACGTAATTGCTATTCAAATTATCAAACAATTTATACATGGCACATTGAAGAAAAATCTTAAATCTTATAGGAAACAGATTTGATTCCATCACAAAATTTTGAACATATGTAAACAGGTATATATTTCTATTATCCAAAAGCGTTTCGATACCTCAAAAAAACAAATTCTGTCAGTTGTATTCTAGTAATACCTGCGAGCGGAGAATACTTTCTAGGCTGGCCTTTCTATGTAATCGCGTTTGTTTAAATGAACACTTATTATGTAACAGCCTTATTGTTGAAGTCTTTTGGAGCACGTTTTATTACAGACATTTTGAGATAACAGCAAGTGCATTTAATCTGGAATGATGCATAAAATAAAGTGTTCAAAATTAGTGTTATTAACATATATGTTACGATTGTGGGATCGCACAACGTTACACGATGCACGATGTGCGCACGATATATGCATGATGTTCGCACGACAGGATAATTGGACGAAATAAGCTATCGCACATTTGTGCGCGTTTTGTGCGGTTCTAATGCACAAATATCCGATTATAACGTGGTTGATATAAATTTAGAAATGAGTGCGGGATAGAGTTTATTTATTTTCTAAATATATAAATATACAACTGAGTATATTTCCTAATCAATCCATTTATAGGTTTGACGCTTGCAGATAAATCAGATGTTCACAGAATAGTTAGATACACTCGTAATTTTAAATGTTTGTTTACAAGGAGCCTCACGTGACCAGCCTTAGTGTACGGACACTCATTATAAATACATTATATATGTAAAATTTAAATGAAGGTTTTTTTTATGTCTACAACAATGAAGCATCTAAAATCTCATACCATCAGAAACGAAATTTTATTTTCATTACTGCTGTATAACTCTCATTTTTCTTTCATTTTCTAAACAAAATGTTACTCAGGTAAAGGGTTTAAGAGTGATGTTTTTACACAGCGAACCAGCCGGTATAGATCCGGACCTGCCACCTATATACCCGTATACAGGTAAACTTTTGTTGCCCGAGACACTACTACTCGCCACTTTCTGGGATGTGAAACTCTTTACGATAAGACTAATTAATGCAAGACAAATGTTATTTCGATAACTGTCGAATCAAACATGATTTTTATAATCACCGATCAATCTTAATGTTCATGTGATCGCTATACAGTAACAACTTCACGAATTTTCCGTTTAATTTTCAGTCCGTAATATTAGCCAACCATTTTGCCAAACAGCACAAATGCGCGATCCTATCGTACAATTCTGCGCACGATACTGGATCGTGCGTGTGTGCGCACGATGTATGCACGATCTACGCACAACGTTTTTGGGTGTGTTGTGCATTACCAAAACTGTAGTATTGCCACGGACTTAGTTATAGATAGACTTAGTCCTTATTAATTATTAGTCTGGTGTCATGTAATTACATGTACGCACGGTCATCATTATAAAGATGTATAATTCGTTTTATCATATACACACGAAAGTAAAACATCTGGAACTATTTTGTTGAAAATTTAAAAACAATTGTAACGTCCTTCTCTGGGCTTAAAGGTAATTTTGTGCTGGCATAAGACACGTACAGCAACCATGCCTGATGGGTGCTGCCCTCGAAGTGAACGTTTTGCAGCGATGTTCGTACATGTATGACATGAGTCCAACAAACACCTAACAAACATTTAGCAAGATACCGTTATTGATTATTTGTAGAACGAGTACTGACATCAACATATATGCATCAAATGATAATTGGAACATGCGACATCTTTACAAGTATCAATTAATCAAGAAATCGATATTACTAGGCTCAACTGACAGTTGTTTGACTGTCTAACAAGTAGTACACTCGATAGATGTCGCTCCGAGGTCTCATAATGGTGATCTATATTAGACTGCTGACGAAATGTGATCCGAACGTTAATGACGTAATATACTATGACAGTGACATGGTTACTGAAAACGTTATCTATAATCTGTATGTCTGTATAAAAAGCAGTGACGTATTTATTCACTGTTCATACTCGATCGGCAGGGTTTTCTATAGACACGAATCATCGTATGTTTCTTACATTCATTGCGATACGACAGTAGTCAAACAGTTATCATAACATTTAGACAGTTAGATGTTTTATTTTATTATTCATTGGCAACTAAAAAAATGTTTAGATTGATAGGTCACAGTGAACTTCGGCTACAGGTAGCAGGAAACAGTTAATTTACATTTTTCCAGAAATTATTAGTCATGTTTGAGATGCACAGGAATAGCAGATTGGTTATGAAAAATACATCATTACATGTTTATATCTTTATAAACTACATAACAATTACATTAATAGTAGAGAGAATAAATTTGTATAATAAAAATTCCCTCTGATTTCTGACATGTGATTGCTATGGTTACCTATTGGAAAATTCCAACCTAACACTACAACTTTCTAGAAGAAATTTATTTCTAAACACCTATCTTAAAATCAACAACACTGTCATGGTAACAAAGTACTTACATTTCAGCAAATTCCAACTCGGAAATTCTTCATAACATGACCACATGTAAACACTATGAAAATTTCACTTCTTGTAAATCTGGGATTTGGTGCGTAGACACAGATTCAAGACTGCCCAAATAGTAATCTCCAACACATAGCTAAAATATCATTCTGAAAAAAATGAAACCCCACATTGACCGCTTTAACACGACTAGACCAATTTTAGCAAGGATTTTTTGTTTCAATTTTAATTAAAACCTTTATAATGGGGTAATCTAATGAACAAAAAAAATCACCCATGGCCACACCGAGAAACTGTGAACAGCTACCACAGATTTTGGTTACAAAAGCCTTCATTATGCAGATATACGGTAGCTGACCGATCACAAATCCAAATGTTAGCTAACTATATATATATAGAAATTGTCACGAAATTGAAACGCATCGGGTGCCTGTTTTGGCCATTAGATGTCCGTCATCGTTATGGTTTATCTTGAGACCTTTCATGTAAAAGTATCTAGTCCATAACTTTTGTAAGAGATAATTATTCTAGGGAGATAAAATGTATGGTCCCAGTGATTAAAATGTAAGTAAGGTAGCGCATTCAGAGAAGTTCTGATCTTGGGGAAAAAAGTTGCTAAAACATCAATATATAGCCGCTCCACGTTTTCCAACGACTGTTTAAGTTTATATAGGCAGATGGGGAAATCATTCAGGATTACCATCCTACATTGTAAACAGCGAACACGTAAATCCGTGCTTAAACATTGTTCTTGTGTCACCAATAACCATTCTCGGGCCCGATTGTCTGTGGTGCTCATCTGACAAAGTGAAACGAAGGGCAGTAACTCTTGGAGATCAAACACCAATAACAGGCTGAGAATAAAACGAAACCGGGTTCAGAATATCAATCCGTGAAATTTTTTAGGACATATAATTCACATGTACATTATGTAACACGTGTAGCTATGGGAATTAATACGATTTTACCACTTGTTTCTAACGAAATCCATAATTGCCTAAGTCAAACCATACATCACCAAAATTGTCGGAACGTCAAAGAAAAACAAAAATACGCGTATACAGCAACATACTTAATTCTAAAATTTTGCATCGTTATAAATATTGATTTTTTTATTCAACGACAAAGGAGTTAGGTGTTCATATATGTCGTATCAGAGTGAACTCCAGCAACATTAAAGTTACAAATTACCTCGGATAACTTCGGCTGTGTATGATATTTCTGTCAGTTATACATGTATATGTTCTATCATTATTGATTATCTAAACACTATACATATATATCTAATAAAAAGACGAGAGATATCTTATGTTTCTTGTAGGTAAAATTTATATGGTAACCCTGGCAATCCTCATATAAAGTTCAAATGCACCAAAAGAAAATACAGACTTAAAATACACGACTAAAATAATCTAATTTATTCATATACAAATACATTTTGTCTTCTACTACAATATCTCATTATCATTGTACTAATCACTAGTAGTGTATATACTAGTCAATTTGTAGGAGATTACTAACTCTGAACTTTGAGAGGGTACAAGCATGTTGTCAATTCCTTTTTCGCTTCTGCTTATTCTGTGTCTTCTTCTGGTACTTCATCGTTGAAATAATATATTATTTAAACTTGTATACTCCGTGTACAAATAATCCAGTACATCATCGTATTCTTCGCTCAGCATCAAATATCTCGAATACTGCATTCTGATTATCCCAGTCAATGTCAAATTCATAGGGCAGAATTTTGTTCAGTGCCTATTCTAGGCACATAAGAATAATATATATATACATATTTTCTACTTGCCAGTTTCTCATGATCAATATTGTAGAGAATGATAGCCAAACAACACTTCTTTCCGTTTTATATTCACAAGTTCGACATGCTTCCAAATATCCGGAAAAAGACGGGTTTACTTTTATAGTTTGTCATTAAACGCTAAAGAGATCTAGATCTAATCGCGGTCACATAAACACTTAAAGCAAAATGGAAACTGAAAGTGAAGGTTTATCCCGAATCTCTGACGATGAAGGATGCTGTCCGTCCTCTGTAGCATTCACCGAAGCCTTAATGGAACAAATTAAGGGAGCTGACGTGGCAGCTATGGTAGAACTACAACGAGACATGTACGATTAATCTTCTGACTTGCATGAAACATTTTTAGCAGAAAATTTTGAACCCCGTTTATCAGATTGAGGAAAACCACGAATTTAGATGTAATATGCAAACTGGCTTTATTATGCGCCATTTGGATTGTGAATTTGTATTTGATAACACCTAAATTGTTTTTATCCCAGATTTGTGCAGTATTTTATCAGAATTCGCATTAATTTATGAAAAGATAGTTACTGAATGTGTTGCCTTCTTTGAAGCTTGATGTAGATTCATCCCCGTAGTAGCTGTAATATCGTAACAAAGGCCAGAGGTACTGCCTATATTTTCGGTACCTTCCCACATGTAACAATTCGAGTTCAAAGTGATTTTTGTTATTTTTGGTCACAAATCTCCACCCAAATTGGCATATGATAGACTAGTATGTATTTGATATGCAAATGTGTGGTTTTCACAAACTTACCCTGGTCACGCAAATATCCTATGGAAATATGACGATTAACTGGAAAATTCAATGCATCCCCTGAACTCCATTGCTAGTTGTTAACCAGACTTACAGCTTTGACAAATAACAAATTATTTTGAGTTAACTGGCCTTGCTGTATTTAGATATCAATTTCCTCAAAAAGTGCATATATATATATATAACTTATTCAAAATGAACAGTAGTAGAAAGCTAAATGGTTTTGAGATTGAATTATGTGATGTGTGTATGTATAACTATATATATAGCTTTACATGTACATGAATTTTGATTTTCCATGTTTCACTAAATAATATTACAACAGAGAACACCAGCACAAAAAAACAAATTCATTGAAATATGTACACAAGGTACTTTGTTCTGTAGGTAGTGATATAAGAGGTGGCCTTTTTAACGATAATTCCAAATATATGATCTTGTCTTCATTTCATGCTTTGGTTACAAGTGATGTCAATACAATGTTCACCAATGACTGCAATTTGACTAGAAAGGGTATAAAAATAAAATACCTTCTTTCTTCATTCTTTCATTTATAAAAGGTCACATACTTTCTCCTTAATATTACTTTTACAATCACTTTTCTATAAAAAAAATTCAGCAATACTTTTCTTTGTTAAAACATGATAGAATGTTTGTGTAGTTGCATGGCATCATTTCCTAAGATTTTTTATCGTCTCATTTTTAATTTTAAAAAGAGATGGTGAGGAAGACAGAAGACATTGGCTCAAAATTGCCATAGTTACTATTAAATACTTATTGATTTTCTTTAAAGGGATATTAGGATTTTATTAGATGTACAAAATTGTCTACTTATATTCATAAGAAAATTCATACACCTCAATTTCTCATTTGAATATATATATATATAATTTGTGGAAATTCTTTATAGCTAGGTCAATTTACAAACATTCAAGCAACCCTACTTGAGTCATTAACAATTTGTGTTGTTTTAGATGAACAGAATGAAATATTGAGGTAAATTATAAAATCAACAGAAAATAAGCCTGCTGAAGTTATCAACTTGCAACCCCAGCAGATATTTTAGTGAACATCATACACACTTATGTATTTACCCAATTTATTGGTATATTGCAGCTGGTATTTTACAGGGTTACATATATCTAAATGTTATAATGCTTTTTATCAGTTATGAAATGAAATTCTTACCATATTCTACTGTTTTTCAGGCTATCCAGATATGAGAAAACAAACGAAATGCTTATCAACTTTAACATGTTGTCCTCCACACGATTTGATGCTACTAGTCAGGCATTCAGGTCACACACTCTGTTGCTATATGATATGAAGAAAGACCTAGATGCTGTCTTCAGACGAATCAGGTAGTATTTATTTTTTCATAGGGTTGAATTACCTCCCTTGGCATAGAGTAGTTGCATTGGTGTAATTCTTGCATAATTTTTTTCCTTTAACCTTAATTGTGCTACTGACCAAAGCAAGTTCCCTATGTGTATTAGATTAATGAATTAGATCAAAGTCACATGTGACAGTCTGTCATACACATAGAACAACATGTTGGTACATTTAAATTTTCAGCCCTGATGTATACTGTACAGGGATGCAGCCATGAAGTACAAAAACCAAATCAGTACTTTATTTCATATTCGGAACATATTCATGAAGAACCTCAAAAATTGAAAATTTATCATTTCATCTCTATCTGTTTAATTCAAAATGGCGGTTTCCTTTAGAACTTAAGCAAATTTTTTAAAAATGTGATTTTTTATATGAAATCCTGTATGTTCTTAATGTGTTAATATTCACCAGCAATGTGATTTCATTGTCTACAATTACTAGTTGTTTTTAAATTATAAAGTTAGTTTACTAGGCAAATTCAATATCACAAATTTCAAAAAGATGAAGTATTATCATTAAATTAGCTTGATTTAATGTAAAGTACATTGTACCAGGTCAGGCAATCCGAGTGACATTAATCGGCCATATTAAGTCATATTATAACGGGGCAGTTGGAAGCAGTAACAGGATATTTAGTACTATTTAAATTTCTTCAATGATTCATTATGCCTTTCATGTTTATCTCAAGAGCTTGAAATAAGACAAGCAATGACTAAGATTAATTATCAGCCAACTCAACATTGAACTTTTGTTGTTTTTTTATACTTCTTTTCATATTTTTTTCAGATCTTTAAAACAAAGACTGAGTAAGATGTATCCTGAAGCTTTTTCAGGTAAAAAAAAATGATTTTCTTACATTGAGTGTATACATGAAATTTGAATTGTAAAATGGAAACATTATCTTTATACTGCTGTAGTTTTGTTATAAAGTTAGAAACAAACAATCCAATCATGTAATTTTTTTTCCAAATGTTTAGCTCAAAGGATTTGTAATGATTCAAGAAAAGGCAAGATAAGGTGTTTGATATAGACATAAAATGTTATGCCTGTACTTATCTACATGTATATGATTAAAGAATAATTTTCAATGCCTTATAACAAAACAAGCAACAAACTTTTTGTATGTTTGAGTGATGCTTTGGCTTGACATATTGTGTCATCATCTAAAGTTGATATTCGCCAACAGTGACCAATACCTGCTTTTCTATAGTTTGTTTCTGACACACATCTCAGTGTGTCACAGAAATTCTGACACACATCTCAGTGTGCCACAGAAATTCTGACACACATCTCAGTGTGTCACAGAAATTCTGACACACATCTCAGTGTGCCACAGAAATAAACATAAAACAACCAAACCAATAATAAGAAAAGTTAATTGTTTGTTCACTTTGATTTGTCAATCCCATTGATGAAAGTTTGAAAACAAACATGAAAGAGTTTGCCAAGTCGCTTTATATTGTCAGGAAATAATCTCTTGTTTCTGTCATTAACCTGTTTAATGCTTTTATGCTTGATGATGTTGTAAGAAAATACAGATGATTTGATAGATATATAGGCCACAGGGACTTGGTACAAATTCACAAACTTTATTCATATATACCAGGTACGTATTATAGTGATATCACTATAATATGGATGGGAATTCTCGCCAAGTCATTGTGATATAGGCATAATATATAGCAGAGCTTACAATAGCTGCATACAAAATTCACCTGACCTTGAACTCAGGTCAGATGATATGCTATCCTGGGCCTCAGGAATTGTTCCATATTTACAGATATCCTATTCGGGAAATGAATTTTTAAATTAATGTTGTAAATTGTTTTTCCTTGTCCACTTTTTCAGCCTGTAGTGACGTATATAATGTTTTAGAAGATGGAGAGGAAGAATTTAAACAACCGAATGATGACGAAAAAAAAGAGGAAAGAGATGAAAATGATTCAGCAGAAGATAATGGTGGATAAACAATTTGCAATATTAGATATCGAATATAGTTTTATTACAGAAAAATGTTAGAATAGATCCAATGAATTAATATTAAGTCCTTGTACAACGCAACTCGCCCTGCTCAGGGCTCCATTGTAGACTGTATTGTCGTGATCTTGTTTTGTGGGTACTTTTGTTAGTTGTTGAGTTAATCCATTATGAATTGATATCATTCCTAACTGCTCTTAATTGTATTTCATTTAATTATTGCTTTGAATTTGTTTACTTCTGAAGGGATCAGAATTAGAATTCTGGAGATGTCCAGTTTGAAATCTTCCAAAAAACTAGAGATTGTTCATTATGTTGATTAAATTCAATCATGTTTATGTTTAAACATTTTAATACATGTACTACCTATGTACTGAAATGAAGTTTGTTTAAAAAAAAAGACATTTAATTTCCCCATCAACTGTCAGGGTCATTTTGAATTGAGGTCTCCTTGTGGTAGCTGATGGCTCCCTTACTGAACAACATATGAGAGGTCTGTCACACGCCATCAAGCACTATTGGAGTAAAGTGTTGTGCCAAAGAACACAACCATGACAGCACAGGACAATTTAATTTTTCAGCTTCCACAGAAACACAAATCAGATTATGTTGGTGTGAAGAAAAAGTAATATGTATATCAAAAGTGTTACTGTGTTGTATATAAATATCAAAAAAGAGCATTTTAGATAGAAATATGTTGTTTTGTTTATTTTTTTTTCTATTTATATGTATGGTATACATTTAGAAAGAATAATTGATTTTATGATGTGTAATGACACTACATCCCCTGTCCGTTGTCTATCCATCATCTGTCAAAAATTCTTGTGCAAGATGGATCTTTCTCAAATTACATATGTAGGTTCTCCGTAGTCCCTATTTGTGACCATGTGACAGGAAGTTATGTTATATTTTGATTATGAATGTTCATCATTACTATTTCTTGAGAAGTATTGCGTATCCTTTTTTCTAAATAGTTCCTTCATGTGTTATCCTTGGTCTGTATACCTGCCATGCTGAATTTTTGGAATGATGAGAGAAATAGAATGGACAATCATTGATTTTTTGACATTTATAGATTGTTATCCTGATTTGTTAAGTGGAAATATCAAATCACATGTAATTCAGAGCAAAAGCAAACGAAAGAATAGAAAAGAAAGGGAAAGGTCCAACGTTTACGGAACTTTTGAAGACAAAGCAAAAGAGGGTGCCAGGAACTTTCTAGGAGCCCTTTTCTTTTTTGTGTCCTAAAGGTTTACAAGTGTGTCAGAATATCTGCATTGTGTGTAAAGTAAAAATGTGTATTATAATAGTTATATGTTGAAGATGTAAATGTACAGTAATACATCTTGATACTTAAATGTGTATTAAGATGAAAATGTATGCCTAAACACAAAAATGTTCATCATGTATCTTAGAAACATCCTGATACAATCTTAATCAGAATATCTGTACATGTATCTTAAGATGTAAATGTGTCTGAATATCTGTACATGCATCTTAAGATGTAAATGTGTCTGAATATCTGTACATGCATCTTAAGATGTAAATGTGTCTGAATATCTGTACATGCATCTTAAGATGTAAATGTGTCTGAATATCTGTAAATGCATCTTAAGATATAAATGTGTTTGAATATCTGTACATGCATCTTAAGATGTAAATGTGTCTGAATATCTGTACATGCATCTTAAGATATGTGTCTGAATGTGTTATAAATGTGTTTGAATATCTGTACATATATGTGTCTGAATATCTGTAAATGCATCTTAAGATATAAATGTGTTTGAATATCTGTACATATATCTTAAGATTTAATGTGTCTGAATATCTGTACATGCATCTTAAGGTATGTAGGTGTGTGTGTGTGAATATTGTTATAAGTATCCTAAGATATAAATGTGTGTTGGAATATTCATACATATGTCTTAAGGTATACATGTGTGTCTGAATACTTGCCTATGTGTCTTAAGATATAAAGGTATCTCTTAATATCAGTATTTATCATAGGATATGTGTGACTGTAAATGTGTCTGAATATTTATTGGTGTGTCTGTGTTGAGTGAACTTGAACCAAAAACATAAGCCACCCACATATCATTTTTTTCATAAGAAATGATGACAATGTATTTAATAAATCTATATATGAAATTATGAATTTTTAATCAATTTGAACCAACGTGAGCCAGGTTTCTGACAATGGTCACCTGAATATTGTTTGGATGTTTGTTTTATCGCATTTCTTAATTGAATAAATATGTGGTTTTAAGAACCTCTTCTCTAGTTTTGCTTGTATGTGTATATTAGGGGATCAGTGTGTCACTCGATGTACACGGTGTATCTATTATCTGTCTGTAGCTCTCATATTACCATTAGTAGATGTCAGATGAAAGTCACAAATATGTCACTTTTTATTTGCATTCTAAAGTTCTTCTGCTGACATACACTAGATTGCTTGCAAAGTCGTTATCCTATCTCAAATTAAGAACGAGAATCTGCATTATATGCTGCCAGTTCTGTTCTATATCAAAGGGGTTTGGGATCACTTCCTATACACCATCTCATCTGTGCACTTCTAGAAGAAACAGCATTCACAAGGCTGTAAACGCAGTGAAATAATCATTGTCATAGAGACACCAATCTCACGTAGAGGTACAACATCGATCTATTACCCGTTATAGAGACACCAGTCTCACGTAGAGGTACAGCATCGATCTATTACCTGTTATAGAGACACCAATCTCACGCAGAGGTACAGCATTAACCATTACCTGTTATAGAGACACCAATCTCACGCCGAGGTACAGCATTAACCATTATCTGCAATAGAGACACCAATCTCACGCCGAGGTACAGCATTAACCATTACCTGTTATAGAGACACCAATCTCACGCCGAGGTACAGCATCGATCTATTACCTGTTATAGAGACACCAATCTCACGCCAAGGTACAGCATTAACCATTACCTGTTGTAGAGACACCAATCTTACGCCGAGGTACAGCATTAACCATTACCCGTTATAGAGGCACCAGTCTCACGCCGAGGTACAGCATCGATCTATTACCTGTTATAGAGACACCAATCTCACGCCGAGGTACAACATCGATATATTACCTGTTATAGAGACACCAATCTCACGTAGAGGTACAACATCGATCTATTACCTGTCATAGAGACACAAATCTCACGCCGAGGTACAACATCGATCTATTACCTGTTATAGAGACACAAATCTCACGCCGAGGTACAACATCGATCTATTACCTGATATAGAGACACCAATCTCACGTAGAGATACAGCATCGATCTATTACCTGATACAGAGACACTAATCCCACGTAGAGGTACATTGCTAACCCTTTACTTGGTACGGAGACACCAATCTCACGCAGAGGTACAGCATCGATCTATTACCTGATACGGAGACACCAATCCCACGTAGAGGTACAGCATCGATCTATTACCTGATACGGAGACACCAATCCCACGTAGAGGTACAACATTATGACTTTACCTGACAGAGAATGTAATTCTACTGTAACAAAACATACTCTCGATTGGCTGACATTTCTTTTCGGACTTTTGTCAATGTAGATCTCCCAAGTCGTACTCACGAGATCCGCCAGTATTTAGAATTTATGTTATTTTTTTCTAAAATCTATTTAGTATTTCATATGTGCATTTGCAAATAATGTTGATGATTTTACGGCACATTTGAAAGAAAATGTCGTTTTTATCTATGATAAAGAAAAACTAATTTGCAGTTCATGTCTTTATTAATTATATTGGTACAATCTTGCATTTCTTTACAGAAATTCTTAACAATCCATTGATCCGTCTGGTACCTTTTTGACCTCACACTGAAAGAAAGAAAAACAATCATATTAGCATAATGATAACTCTAAGAAAAGATAGACAGAAAAATAAAACGAAAAAGAGAGGAGGAAAACAAACATGATTCTGTATGATTTGGGTACACTATAACCTGATAATAAAATCTATGTGTGTTTACAGAAACTTTTCATTACAAATAAAAGACGAAATAAATGCTAAAAAATAAAGCTGATTAATTCTGAAATGTAAAAAATAACCAGCTCCGCATAAATATTACAAAACACGAACTTATTACAGAATATCCTTAAATATGGCTGAAGATTTATACATTTATTTGCATTGTACATGAAATTTGTAACCAATTTATTTCAACTGAGCGAAGAAATAAACTACAAAAAACATACCCAAGTTATGTTCTATGTATTCATTGTGTGCCGAGATCTTAAAAATCTCGTGTTTCATCCAAAACATGGTGCCTATAGTGTAGGTTAGAGAAAACTCTTTCGCATATTTTTGGAAAAAAGTTAATGTTGTTGAACACATCAGTTTCATCGCTGAATATAACTTTATATCAGTCAGATGTTCCGAGTGTTGTTAACATGAAATAGTGAACTCGTTGTCATACTTCTGTGGCCTATTTTCAGAAGCTGATATTACTTTTCCATTTATATGGCGGTAGCTGTTCAGTTTTGTGTGGTTTGTATAATCCTTCCGAAGCCATTTTCTCATTTTTAATGACAGTTCCTTCCTTTCTACAAGTGCATGAAATGTTCATTGTATTTCTATAATGTGGATAATTATCAAGTATCAAGAAGCAGTAATTGGCTGATATTTCAACAACGTCAACCGTGAGGTCATTATCGACAAAATGACGTCACAAAAGAGAGCATTTTTGGTGTTTTGAGGGGTTCTTTTGCTTGTTTGTTTTTTTTCTTCTTTTTTATATAAAGATTTTAAAGCAATTAGCATTAATTGTAAAAAAGTGAAAACTAATATGTTTTCCATTTCCTGTGATATTCATGTTAACGAGCATAAAACGTTTTGTATATTAAGAACGAGGTAAAACGAAAAAAAACTTGTTGCGAGTTTCACAAGATCACGCCGCAAGATCTGATATACTATTGCAACCAGTCATGACAAGATTTAGATTGACAATATTCTCACTCATTTTTACGCGCGTAATACTGGTCTGTCCATGGCAGTACACCCATGCTCGCTGCGTTCGCATCACACACCCACCATGCAGAACAGGTACGCGCGTGTAAACGTGTAGAAATGTGACGTGTCCCTTCCCAATTGACGTCATCGCCTGATACAATGAATACAACATCTAGGCAGAAGGAAATGTGAGAGAAAAATACTCTTCTATATGTCGGGGTGAAAAATGGGATATTTCACCCTCGAGTTCACAAAATGTGTAAGAACCTTTGGCAGAGCCTCAGGTTGTCAACATTTTGTGTCATATCTTGTGGAATATCCCTATCCTACACCCCGACATATGAAAGAGTCTTCTAACATGTTTCTGTTCTGATGTCACATTATATATGACGTCATTAAGTTATGACGTCACAATTGATACAATCACAATTTTCAACCAGTCACAGATCCACTAGGTGCTGTGACACATATTACCAACACAATTAATTTGATATGTAAAATGATATTGACAACAGGTTAATTCTATGATAAAGGTTAAGATAACCTTAAATGTATTAGATATATTACCATGTCATTATTTCAAACTTACCTGATCTATGATTGAGGTTACGGAGATTGTCCATTTTTTTTGGCGAGTCTCAAACAGTCGGTTTCCTCGAGGCTATTAACTGGGCTTTTAATGTTTGGATTTCGTCTCTGTTACGCCTGTAGGCCATAGTGAGGGTCGACTGGAGAAGATTCACTGATGATTTCAGACCTTGTAATTGCGATGAGATGGGTGGGTTAGTTTCCAGTTCATGTAACCTATTACGGAGGTCGTCAAGTATTTCCTGTTGTCCAGCATTTTGCACTTTGAAGTCCTCTGATTCTTTCTTCAATAATATGAGATTTTGCGCTTGGTGGGCCAGCTGGCTTGTCTGAGCAACGATCATTGCTTGAGCATGATCAGATACTTTGGCAGATTCATTCTGAAACTTCTCCACAATTGCCATCATACGTTCTTGCAACGCCGAGAATTTTGGTTCCAAGGATTCTTTCGAATTCGTTATCATATCTCGAAGACTTTTCACCTCCTCTGCAAGAGGCGCCATGCCAGTCACCATGGATTGGATTTTTTGAAGATCCATACGGAGCATTGTGCTAACATTTCTCATGGTTTCAGCTCCAATGTCCAGTTTTGAAATTTCTCTCGAGAATGATTCTGACATTGCTTGCTGCCTGCGTTCAGCGATAATGAGTTCACCATTGATATGATCAATGGAAGACTTCATTTGAAAACTCTCTTCTCCACTGCATTTGACGCCAGAAGATTCGGGTACTGTGAATTGGTAATTACAGTTTTCTGTCTTCACATTTCCTACCATAATGGTAGCCAGAAGAAAGAAGATCGCCATCCGAAGCATTGTAGTCGCTCAAACGTCTAGACCCGGAATGACACTTCCTACGCATGGTCATTGATAAAGTAGTGGTGGTGCTCGTTTGTTTGCGTCGACAATCATCTTATCTCTTTATGGAACCGATGTTAAAAACGGTCACTACAAATTTCAGTGAAGATGATACTCATAAATGACTACAACATATATTATGCATTTAAAGATGTTTAAATGAATACAAATATAAGTCATAGTTCACACCAATGCCAAACATCTGTTTCGAATGCAAAATACTTATCATATTTGTATATCAATTTAAATAGTTATGGGCGTGTCTTTCACCCATCAGCAATTATTGGTATGTTTATAAAAAATGGGTGTGTTTTTTTTCATTTTAAAGGCAAAAGATTAAAACGAAAGTGATGTGAGATATCGTATACATTACAATTAACATTCGCATAATCTAACTTAAACAAACATGGGTGGAACGCATGTCTGTGTCGACAGTCACTTGTCTCTGTCCAGTCTATCTACGGACGGATTGGAGATTTCCCTTCGTGAGATAAGAGTCATATTTAGGTGTCTCATATAATCCGAGTCACGAAGCAACAAATATACCATCAAAATATTTCAGATGAAATCGTTTCAAATCCATACCCATATACACAGCGTATCAAACGTTGCCAGTGTTGTAAATCTTACGGGTTTGATTTTAAACTCAAAATTTATAATCAGAATTTTTAATATGTAAATCTTCCTATTCTTATTTCTAATTGTTTTTATGTTCCAAAATATGTGTTTTGCCTTTATTAAAACAATGAAGAATAAAATAGCACAATACATGATACAAATAAGATAAAAAATAGATAATGTGATTACCAGAAAAAAATAATATAAGAATATACAAACAACGTATACATATATAAAAACAACTCTATTTTCCGCCCCCGCTAGAATGTAATGTAGCACTTTGTGGAAAGTTTTAAAAGCCTCCTGAAAGGAAACTGATGGAAATAAAATCTATCTCAACTTGTAGACAAGGTAAATAAGCTATACATAGGAACTCAGATTTAAAAAGATTTGGAATGGAAGCAGGGATTAGCGTGTTTATTCTCCGAACTGAAACATTATTGGGATGACAATGGTGTCTAGTTACGATTTACGGCTCACTGATGGATGATAACACGAGCTTCAAGAGCTAGCAAATGACTTGTTTTGATAGAAAACCAAATAAGGTAGAGATACCATAGGACTCACAGAATACTTCCTAAGTAACGGTTGATCGCTATAGTTATGTACCTGTATTAACATACATATCAGCATGTTCTAGATATCGGCCACAACATGTAGAGTAGATAAATGACGACAGAAGCCAGGATGACAGGAATGTAGATTGACAAAACAGAAACAAATAAGTCTCGCTTGTAAAAACTATTTAGCTTTCAGAATGAATTCCAAACATAACGATTGAAGCGTCTTTTGAAACTTTCGTGCTTGAATGCCGCAAATTTACTTTTTATTGTTACGTATAACACCAATCTCTCAGATTTACAATGCATTTAACGTATCTAATTAGAAGACAATTACTGTCCTTGTTTATCTTCTTGGGCGTTGCTAATGATCTCTGCGTAAATATTTTGTTGTTCATATTTTGCTCTAGTTTCATCGCAATCCAATTCTTTCAAGATTATCACATCCAACAAGTATACTTTAAAATATTTACGTATTTGTTCATTGCATTTCAGAAATTCATTAATGTGTATATGATTGTTTCTATTCAAAATATAGTATTTTCAACAGGTCGGAAGTTCATGGTACGTTTTTCAGAAAGTTCCAGCGGGCCAGTCGTCCAAAGTATCTCACATGTACACTTAATTAGGTTCTGTTGAGTTCTACATTCAACCACATTGAATTTCTTAACTTTATACATACCATTAACAGCTCACTTCCCTCGTAATGGGTAGATAAAATGAGGTCGATTTGGTGATAAAAAGTTAACAGTTTTTGGTATCACTGAAAGATACTCGGCATAGGGTTTTAAAACCTTGATAATTAGTAATTAAAGAATTAATTGAATATGCTGGACAAAATTCTATATAATGCAATCACTTCGTGCATGCATTTATTTTCACTGATGACATTTTTACGTATTTCCCCTCTCACTGTTGCATAGCATAAACATTGTATTGAAAATCTTAATGATAAACAATACCACATACTGTACCTATATTGTAAATATATAGAGGCAGTTTGGTCATGAATGGGCTACTTCATAGAGAGATCGTTTATCATCAAGGGCTGAGTTTCCCTATCGGATGTGAAACATAATGGGGTCACGTGAATCAGACCTTGTAAGTTGATGTTCTGAACCTGCAACCACAAGAACATCCCCAAAACATTAGCACGCGAATAAAGATTGATATTCAAACTCAGAATCGATAACATGAGGATAAACTATGACAACGGAAAATATTTACGTAGCGGCACTTGAGACAACAACAAAGATCAAGTAGAATTTTCAGGAAGGTTAAGCGTCTTCTGCTTCATTGGCGACATCTGTCACGTGATTCTATAATTCAATCCGAAGTCACGTGTACATGTGTAAAAAATGACACGTTCTCAAAGGTTGAGCCGGGTTATAAAACGATATAATCATCGATCACATCGCAACGCATGTCATTCAAGAATGGAGACTGTTTCTCAGTCCGTCACGTAATTTTAATTAACCCCTTCAAGCTTAAGTTTTTCAGTGTCAATAATTTGAGAGCCTTTTTGGTGCAAATGTTAAAAAAGAATTTGTGTTTCTACGTGATTTTAAAAGTATTTCCCATTTGTGTTACACATTTATTACTCAAAGCATCAAAGATCACTCAGTGCAATACTATCACCCATATATAAGGTTGACTGTTGTATCAGGTTATGGTTATAATGCCGCATATCAAGCTTTTTGTGCACTGTGCTTCCATTCCGTGACATGACAGGTGCGTTCGTTCGAAACAAATTCTGATATGACGGAAAGTTCCTAGTTCACGAGTAATAGATTTCAATAGCGTATGCCTATAAAATCTTTTCGGTGTCTTTTCAGATGAAAAAACAAGAACAAAACACGACATTTCCTTTTACAAACAAACGAAACATGCTTATCTGTACATTATGCATTCGACGCGTTCGAATAACAACTTGTTTACTTCCGGTTTGAACAGATTCACCTATCTGAAATGTGTCTCATGATAATTAAAGCTCGTACCTGGTATGATGTCATTAGCGTGTATAGAAGTTGAAGTAACTTATATCTGGTAACTCAATCTACCAATAGTCTGACTGTTGTAATAAGTTTGTTTTCGTTTTGATACACGTCTCCTAATGAGTCAATGCGTTAATTCAACGGAAATAACAATTATTCAAATAATTTCTAAAGTGGCAGTACTAACCTCATTTTTTTACTATTTTTTCAAATGTAAAAAAATCTTCGGGGGCGGGGGAATCGTCGTTTACGAATTTATATTGAATTAGCTCACTTTGACTAATTATGCTTAGTTCATGTTTAATAGATTAAGCACATGTCTTTAAATAAATAGTATGGTTCATAAACATGTATGAATTGACCCATACCAGCTGAGTATTAAGCGCAGGGACTGTGATAGTGATTATACAATGCTGTATATACATCTGTAAGGGCCTCAAGATATAGACAAAAACATTGTTACATGCCCCAAACATAATCATATAATTACATAATTGTATATGTTGGTAAGTTAAAATCTGGTGTAAGCCAGTAAAATGTGTCACAATATTTTATAAAAATGTATAACTTGTCTTGATTGTTGTTGAAAAATGTAACATTCAGATTTATTTGTTGATTTTTGGAGTTTAAGTACATGTATATGTTAATATTGGTGCAGTCTTGTTTTTTTATCTATCTAGATATTAGCCTCTAAGACTAGTGGATACACCTTGACACCATGGTGGTAAATCTATTAATCAAGATAGAGAATAATGAGAGAGTGGTATATTTTCCCGGACAAACTGTGCAGGCATGTGTTCAGTTATTCCTAACAGAAGGAACTCATGTGAAAGGTGAGATTGCATTCTTTTCTGTTATACTTCATGTGACATTAAGATCCAAGGGTTCTGCATTTGAGTTATCATATTTTCTCGTGGTATATCTCATGACATTAGATGAAAAAGGTGCTGTATGATTCTGACTATCTATCTTCAATTTTATTTTGTCTTTGCTGCAGTTGACCAAGACAACATTTTAAAAATAATGCAGATGAATTATTAGTCAGAGCCTTTCAGACTACTTATGGTTGTACTGTTATCTAAATAAGATTTTTTATTCACTTCCAAAAATAAAACCTTTCACTTGTCAATCTGCAAGTACAAAATATGGATCTTTTATAAGGGCAAATTTTTAACATTTTTTGTTTGGTTTTTTGTTTTTGTTTTTCTACCAACCTGATGTCTATACCTAGTATATGTTGTATACTTGTATTTATATGATGTAGGGGTCATACAAATCTTTGAATCCACTATTAAAAGAGAAAATGTCTATATGTGGGACTTCAAATGCTTATTTTCAGTCAGCTATTATTAAGATTTGTTTTCCATATTCTAATATACATCATGCCTGTAAATGGACAGTTGTATTTAATTATAAATAGCACAGTCTATAATACCTTGCAGGCATATATGCAAAATTTAAAGGAATAGCTTGCACAAGTTGGACCGAAGGGACTGGGGACACCAGAAAAAGTCACAGAGAAACTGAACAATACTTCAAAACAGAGATACCACTAGTACAAGGTTTGATATATCTTACAGTGCCATGTCTACCCCCCAACTAAACCCAAACAGCCGGAAAATATCCGACTCAAACTCAGTGGAAGTGCTATAGTTCAGTGAAATTGAGTGTCTGTTGAAAGATAAATATATATGTGTATAGATATCTTTTATATATATATATTATCAGGTATAAGGGCTTATTGTTAGACATATGTCTTGATTTTGTATGAGTTATCTCCCTTATGATCTCAGTTAACATTTGAGAGTGACAGTTGTCATTGCCAAGGTAGGATTAATTAACCTTTATTTTGTAATGAATTTACTTTGGAATAACCAGCTGATACAAAAATAAAAAATTGTTACAGGTTTTCCTAATTTGAAACTCTTATAAAAGATATGTGAGACTACAATATCCACCTCTAAGGCTTGGTATGTCAGCGGTCCAGTTTCTTCTGTTTCAGCTGTGGATGGTGACTATGTGGACACACAGCCTGGTGATTATAAATACCCTGTTGATTATGTATTACCTTCACTTCTACCCTCTTCCTTTGAGGGTCGCCATGGCTCTGTCCGTTACATGATCAAAGCCAAGATGAAGACAAGGGGTGGAAATGTGTACAGAGTCCAGTATCCATTCACGGTCATCTACAAGCTTGACCTCAATGCAATATCAGGGGCAAGGGTCAGTGTGAAACCTTATACATTGAAAAAAAATTATTATTAGGAATCACCATGTTTGAATTACATAGGTTAGATGATAATTACAGAACCAAATATAGAAGGAAGGTGCACGTGGTGAGGAACTGGATGAGGTATGGGGTTGAGAAGGGACATGACTATGGTTTTAAAAACTCATCTGTTTCAAGTTATTATGCTATAATGTAATATCTGACATAATTTTTTCCCCATGTTAATATCTTCATGGTGCAGAGTACTGATATTCGGCTTGTAGAATTTGTTTGAAGGTAGGACCTAGATCCACTTTCATGGTCAAAGGGATAACATGTATTAAAATTTCCAAACACCATCTTAAGAAGCACAACACCCAGGGTGCTGATGATAAGCCTATTAAAAAGGGCTACCAAGTTAGTTCAAATGAATGACCTTGAACTATCATTGTTGTCATAAGGGTCAAAGTTGTTCATCTTCTCAATATCCAAGAGAATCAGGGTTCTAATATTGTAGCATGCTTCAATTAAGGACTGCTAAGTTATGTCAATGAATGACTTTAGCCCTTTTCCAAAGTCACAAGGGTATAATTTGTTAAAAACTTAGAGCAACATTTCTCAGTGACTTAAAGGCTAAGGATACTTATATTGGATCTTTAGCATGCATGGAAGAAGGTCTACAAAGTTCAAGGTCACAGAGTTCAGAATTTATTTTTTTTTGATATCCAGTTAGGTTCTTTGTCATGTTTGTATAGTATCATGCTTGAGAAAGGGACTAACATGTTTGTAGAAACTGCAGAAACCTTGCTTAAAGAAACACGGAAGTCTTCTTTGAAAACTGCAGAAACAGGAAAGGGATTTAGGCCCATTAGGTCTCTTGTACTTTAACTAACAGTATCTAGTTTAGAAAGTTTCACTGAGAAATTTTCAATTAATTTCAACCATGTTTGCCTAGATATCATAGGAAACTGATTCTAAATTATAGGACTTATTCTTGTTACGGAATAAGTATAGAATATTAAATGAGACTTCATTTCATAAGAGATTATGTGAAACAAATCTTTGAAGTTTTTATTGGGTTAGCAAAAATTAAAACTTTGAGACATGTTTCATAAAAGAACATATGAAATAAGAAAAAATTAAAGATACATTTTGACGAGTTTTAAAGTGAAAATAATGAAGACGACACTAAATGGAGGCAGCCATATTGTTGCACTATTTATAATGTAAAATCCTTGTCCATATTATGACATCATAATCGACACTTTAAATTATTTTTACTAGATGCCGACCCAGATGCAGGACACTAAAACTGGATGTTGTTTGTGCTGTAAAACAGGTCCTGTCTCCTGTATGATGTGTTTGGACAAACAGGGCTATGTTTGTGGAGAGAATATCAACATCAGCGCTGAGATAACTAATAATGGTTCTTCATTAATACGAAAAACGACAGTTCAGCTGCTCATGGTAAATTATCAGTTAGAACCTATTTTGCATATGGACAAAGTCTCATGGTAACCTATTGCGCTCGCCTTTTGTCCAGTGTCATACATCTTTAACATTAAAAATTTTTGACTTTTTCTGGAAAATCCCAGAACCGATTTTATTGGAATTTTATGGAAACCTTCCATTGCCAAAGGTGCAAATTTTTTTTTGATTACATGGTTCCACCTCCCAGAGGTCGGAGTGATGAGGCCAAAAAGGGTCAAATTGATGGAAGCGTTGAAGAAATCTTCTTCTCAATAACCAAGTATCAAAGTACTCTTCATGGATGGAGTTGCCTAATGGTACTTTACCAAAATGATAAATTTCATGACCTTAGGGTCTCACATTTCCCCATAGGGAGAGTGTAAAGTTTACTATAGTTCATATAGGAAAATTACATAGAAATAAATAAAACATATTTAGAATTGATATTATAGAAAGACAGTTTATGATAGGCGTATATTGACCCTTGCTGACCCCATGGGCTGATCGGAGGGGCCAAAAGGGGTCAAATTTAATCAACTTTCAAAAGATCTTTTCAATACCCAGATATGATAGAATCTATTAAATACTGTTGATGGATGGAAGAGTCATAGGGAAATGACACTTACGACTGTACTGACATGCATAGCATAGGATGGCAGTTCATATTATGCACAATTTACATTTACATTACATGTACAATGTCATTCAAGTTAACATGATTATTTCTATGACATGTTAAAAGAAGAACAACAATGTTGTAACTCTGGTGACCATTAAGGCCACTGAGCCTCTTGTTATCATTTCTTTAAAGAGAGAGGAGAACTACCTTTGTCATAAAATACTTTGAAAATTGATTAAGTAATTTCAGCAATCAATATGACCTTTGTCATAAAGTTCTATAAAAAATTGATTAAGTAATTATTAGCAATCAGTATGAATTTTGGAATTACTCAATATACATGTCCACTATGGTCTGTTTCAGAATACAACATTCAAGGCCTACGGTAGTTCTACACACGATAGAAAAGTTATATCAACAGTTTCCCATGGGACCATTGGTCCAGGAGAATCTGACATTTGGAATGGTGATGTGCTTCCTGTTCTTTCCACACCACCATCTTATTTATACGGATGTTCACTCATTGATATTCAATACTCATGTGAGGTAAGGGATTTCAGGCCAGATTGAAGTGACTGATTGAAGTGAAATGCTGTCTCCTGGTGTGACATTTTTGTTTGTATTAGTTAAAGCAACAAAGATACAATATCTAAAGTTTAAGGTTGTGTTGTCAACAGATTCCAAATACAATACACACGAAATAAGATCACTGCAGCCATTTTTTATACTTTAATAACTAAAATAATTTTTGGTTATATTTGCCTTTCAGTTGCAATAGCACACATGTAGATCATAACCAAATTTAGCAAACTGTGTTGTTATAAGGTCAATATTACATTGTATGTGAGGGACTTATTTTTGTTGCTTCTGTAAATATCTCTTTCTCAATATTCATAATTTTCTTTCATATTAGTTGATAGTTCAATAACAGGTTTAAAAAAGATATCATTTACATATCAGAAAGATGTGTTGCTCTGAGGTCAAAATTAGGTATATGTTACATATGAACTAAAGTCACTGTGACCTAGTTTTATTGCTTAAGTAAATTCAATATTCCTTAATGTGCATCTCCTTATTATTTCAGTCATAGTTCACTAATGTGTACATTGAATAATATATACACCTATCAGTTATGACAGGTAGTACCTGTGTACATTGAACATGATATACACTGCATCAGTTATGACAGGTAGTACCTGTGTACATTGAACAATATATACACCTATCAGTTATGACAGGTAGTACCTGTGTACATTGAACATAATATACTGTATCAGTTGTGACAGGTAGTACCTGTGTACATTGAACATAATATACTGTATCAGTTGTGACAGGTAGTACCTGTGTACATTGAACATAATATACTGTATCAGTTGTGACAGGTAGTACCTGTGTACATTGAACATAATATACTGTATCAGTTGTGACAGGTAGTACCTGTGTACATTGAACATAATATACTGTATCAGTTGTGACAGGTAGTACCTGTGTACATTGAACATTATATACTGTATCAGTTATGACAGGTAGTGCCTGTGTACATTGAACAATATATACACCTATCAGTTATGACAGGTAGTACCTGTGTACATTGAACATGATATACACTGCATCAGTTATGACAGGTAGTACCTGTGTACATTGAACATGATATACACTGCATCAGTTATGACAGGTATTACCTGTGTACATTGAACATTATATACTGTATCTGTTATGACAGGTAGTGTACATTGAACATTATATACACTCTATCAGTTATCACAGGTAGTACCTGTGTACATTGAACATTATATAATGTATCTGTTATGACAGGTAGTACCTGTGTACATTGAACATGATATACACTGCATCAGTTATGACAGGTATTACCTGTGTACATTGAACATTATATACTGTATCTGTTATGACAGGTAGTACCTGTGTTCATTGAACATGATATACACTGCATCAGTTATGACAGGTAGTACCTGTGTACATTGAACATTATATACACTCTATCAGTTGTGACAGGTAGTACCTGTGTACATTGAACATTATATACTGTATCAGTTATGACAGGTAGTACCTGTGTACATTGAACATTATATACTGTATCAGTTATGACAGGTAGTACCTGTGTACATTGAATATTATATACTCTATCAGTTATGACAGGTAGTACCTGTGTACATTGAACATTATATACACTCTATCAGTTATGACAGGTAGTACCTGTGTACATTGAACATTATATACTGTATCAGTTATGACAGGTAGTACCTGTGTACATTGAACATTATATACTGTATCTGTTATGACAGGTAGTGCCTGTGTACATTGAACATGATATACACTCTATCAGTTGTGACAGGTAGTACCTGTGTACATTGAATATTATATACTGTATCAGTTATGACAGGTAGTACCTGTGTACATTGAACATTATATACTGTATCAGTTATGACAGGTAGTGCCTGTGTACATTGAACATGATATACACTCTATCAGTTGTGACAGGTAGTACCTGTGTACATTGAATATTATATACTCTATCAGTTATGACAGGTAGTACCTGTGTACATTGAACATTATATACTCTATCAGTTATGACAGGTAGTGCCTGTGTACATTGAACATTATATACTGTATCAGTTATGACAGGTAGTACCTGTGTACATTGAACATTATATACTGTATCAGTTATGACAGGTAGTACCTGTGTACATTGAATATTATATACTCTATCAGTTATGACAGGTATTACCTGTGTACATTGAACATTACATATTCTGTATCATTTATGACTGGTAGTGTCTGTGTTACAAGAACTTTCAGATTATGTTGTATGCCATTTGTGTCATTGTTCTAGAACAAATTATTCATGCATTAGCAACACAAAACATTTAGGCATTTTGTAACCTCATACTTTTGTCAAGTAATGTGAACAATTGAGATTTTGATGTTAATTTGCATTTCAAATAATTTGTATGCTTAATAAATCTGTGTATAGATTTTTGAGGTAAGAGTGCCAACAACATACAGAATTCAACCAATCATTGTTTTACAACATCAAGTCTACTCTGTATTCATCATGCATCAAATCATAGCCCTGTACACACACCCACGTAAACACACATACCACTGCACACGCCCACGTAAACATACCACTACACACACCTATGTAAACACACCATTACACAGACCCACGTAAAAACACCACTACACACCACCACAAACACCCACGTAAACACACCACTACACAGGCCCACGTAAACACACCACTACACAGACCCATGTAAACACACCACTACACAGGCCCACGTAAACACACCACTACACAGACCCATGTAAATACACCACTAGACATGCCCACATAAACACACCACTACACACACCCATGTAAACACACCACTACACACACCCATGTAAACACACCACCACACAGGCCCATGTAAACACACCACTACACATGCCCACGTAAACACACCACTACACACGCCCACGTAAACACACCACCACACAGGCCCGCGTAAACACACCACTACACACACCCACGTAAACGCATTACTACACACGCCCACGTAAACACACCACTACACATGCCCACATAAACTCACCACTACACACACCCATGTAAACATACCACTACACATGCCCACGTAAACACACCACTACACACGCCCACGTAAACACACCACCACACAGGCCCGCGTAAACACACCACTACACACACCCACGTAAACGCATTACTACACACGCCCACGTAAACACACCACTACACATGCCCACATAAACTCACCACTACACACACCCATGTAAACATACCACTACACATGCCCACATAAACACACCACTACACACACCCACGTAAACACACCACTACACACACCCACATAAACACACCACTACACACACCCACATAAACACACCACTACACACACCCACGTAAACACACCACTACACACACCCACATAAACACACCACTACACACACCCACATAAACACACCACCACACACACCCATATAAACACACCATCACACACACCAACCCACAAACAAACTCGAACTCGAAGTGGACAGGTGGACTAAGTGCTTAAAATGGGTCTAATGGGTTTGCTGGATGAATATATTTTCTTGTAATATTTCAATGCATTGTTATACTGGTAATGTTGATTGATATTAGTTGAATTCACATTAAACTACATATATGTACATGTAGGTACGATGTGTATTTCCGTGATCAGTATAACATGTCACCCACATTTTACCCAGTCTTCCTGCTGGTCACAGCTTGTTGCAGATATGGATGGGTCTTTGCTAAATATTGTATTTGATTTGCCAATCATAATCGGCACCATTCCATTATGTCCCCTGGAACATCAACCTCAACCGCCTGTCTTGCTACGCCAACATCCGACAGATCGTGACTGGGCACTAACCAATGAACAAGCTGGCAACATCTCATTGGATAACATCACAATTGCTGAACCAATCACATCACAGATAGTTCATCAACCTGCAGGTGATATACAGTATACAAGCATTGCCTTTTATTCTGAAAAAATATAGATTATTGCAGCTGGGACTGACTTTATATTCCATGTAGACCTGCAACAATTCACAAGCTTGTTGACCAAAGTTTCTCAACTTAAGACAAATTCATCGCCTTACAAAATTTGTTGACTAGAAGATTGGACACTATAATTGAAGTTTGGAATTCTGTAATAGTTTTCTCTGGACATTTTAAGTAAAGATACTTTCAGTTCAGAAGCATCATTATACTGGAAAGTGCTTAATACCAATTACCAAAATGTTCGTAAAGATTAAAAAAGTTGTAATTATTCAATTTATCATTCAATAACAGATAAGCCTGGTGGTGTACTGTGTGTTATTCCGGAGAGATCTTAGATAAGATTTTCATAACATTTTCTGTAATTCTTCAGTGAGTCAAATCTAACTGACCTACAAGGTATTTTCTTTTGAAACCAAGCTGCCTTGATTTCTTTAATCAGTTTTGTATTTACAGCCCCACCAAGCTATGAGGAATGTATGACAACAGATAGAGTCCGGATTATGCGTCAAAACAGCAACAGTACAGACCAAGAAGATCAATTCACCAACTTCACACCCTCCTACCCATATTACAAGCAGAATTAAAAGTTCAAGTGCTTGGTTGTAGTGGAAACAAGGACCATAACTCCTCATAATAATGAACATGTGGAACTTTTCCTTTTTGAGGTAAATAATACATGTAAATGTGATAAATCCATCTTCAAGTGCATTCCATTCAACCTATATTACAAGCAGAAGACATGCATGTAGTTCTTCATTGACAGAGAAACAAGTGCAATTGCTAAATGTGCCATACAAAGAACACTTCTGTGTTTTAGGGAAGTTAAGTGTTTTATGAAATATTGTTCTTTTCGTTTCCGTTTATCATGCTGATTTGTGAACCTGTACTTGTGATGATTCTGCACACCTTAACATGTCTTCATATAAGACAAACAGAATCACTCAAATATTCCTGATATTAATGTAGTGTGCTGGTGTTAGATCAGACAGTGAAACAACACCTGATCCATATATTCAGAATAGATATGGTTTTATTACAGTTTGCATTGAATCTGATGCACTTTATTATACATGCATGCCTGTATGCAAAGACACCAATGTATGCACATGCACAAAATTTCATCCTCTGAGCTAATCCTAATTGCAATGACCGAAAAATGTATGCCCCCTTTGAAGTTAAACAAATTGACAGTAGCAATGGTCTAAAACTGAGAACAATTCACTTTGTATATAGTGATTACTTATCCCCAGGCATGCAGGGAGTATTGCTATATATATCGATGACTTATCCCCAGGCATGCAGGGAGTATTGCTATATATATGGATGACTTATCCCCAGGCATGCAGGGAGTATTGCTATATATATTGATGACTTATCCCCAGGCATGCAGGGAGTATTGCTATATATAGTGATGACTTATCCCCAGGCATGCAGGGAGTATTGCTATATATAGTGATGACTTATCCCCAGGCATGCAGGGAGTATTGCTATATATGGTGATGACTTATCCCCAGGCATGCAGGGAGTATTGCTATATATAGTGATGACTTATCCCCAGGCATGCAGGGAGTATTGCTATATATGGTGATGACTTATCCCCAGGCATGCAGGGAGTATTGCTATATATGGTGATGACTTATCCCCAGGCATGCAGGGAGTATTGCTATATATGGTGATGACTTATCCCCAGGCATGCAGGGAGTATTGCTATATATGGTGATGACTTATCCCCAGGCATGCATGGAGTATTGCTATATATGGTGATGACTTATCCCCTGGCATGCAGGGAGTATTGCTATATATAGTGATGACTTATCCCCAGGCATGCAGGGAGTATTGCTATATATAGTGATGACTTATCCCCTGGCATGCAGGGAGTATTGCTATATATGGTGATGACTTATCCCCAGGCATGCAGGGAGTATTGCTATATATGGTGATGACTTATCCCCAGGCATGCAGGGAGTATTGCTATATATAGTGATGACTTATCCCCAGGCATGCAGGGAGTATTGCTATATATGGTGATGACTTATCCCCAGGCATGCTGGGAGTATTGCTATATATAGTGATGACTTATCCCCAGGCATGCAGGGAGTATTGCTATATATGGTGATGACTATAGTGATCCCCTGGCATGCAGGGAGTATTGCTATATATGGTGATGACTTATCCCCAGGCATGCAGGGAGTATTGCTATATATGGTGATGACTTATCCCCAGGCATGCAGGGAGTATTGCTATATATATTGATGACTTATCCCCAGGCATGCAGGGTGTATTGCTATATATGGTGATGACTTATCCCCAGGCATGCAGGGTGTATTGCTATATATGGTGATGACTATATATGGTGATGACTTATCCCCAGGCATGCAGGGTGTATTGCTATATATGGTGATGACTTATCCCCAGGCAAGCAGGGTGTATTGCTATATATAGTGATGACTTATCCCCAGGCATGCAGGGAGTATTGCTATATATAGTGATGACTTATCCCCAGGCATGCAGGGAGTATTGCTATATATAGTGATGACTTATCCCCAGGCAAGCAGGGTGTATTGCCAGACATTACAGTAAGAGATGGGTTTATATTTAGTATTGTTTACTAGTCATTTACTGTTAATTGGCATTTGTTTGTTTTGTTTTTGTTTATTTGTTGTTCTCGTAAATATCTTTATATATTGTAAATATCTTTATATATTTGGTTGTGAACAAATATCTACGAGGTTTTTCTTCGTATTTTTATTACTGGTGCTGGAAAAGTTGTTTATACATTTTATACATGTTGCTGGTTTTTGATTTTTTGATATTTTCTTAATATTATTATTTGTATACACATATTTTAGAGAATATGACTTACAGCTTATTCTGTGGTGCTGCATGTGTCATCCAACATTGTCCATCCATCTCTTTGGTATCAACATTTCCTTTTGAATGACTTGTACTCAATATTCAAAAGGCCCAGTGTAGCAATATTGGGTAAGTTGTATAAGCATACTGGGATAATGTGCGTTTTCAATGTCACAGGAGTGAAATATCTTAAAAAGACTTCAAATGACTCTTTGTCAATAGTAAGATGAAGGTTTGTTTAAATAAGTCACACAGGTCACAGTATAAAATGTTGTTAAAGGAGCATTTTGCCATTAAAGCTCTTTGAAGTTACAAGAATATAAATGAAAAAAACTTTATTTTTCTACGATTGTGAAGGTTATTTACTTTACACTAATGAACCATTTAAAATTTTAATGTAATCCTAAGTTCTTAAATCACAAAACAAATTTTGAAATGTAAACTTTGACCAGAAGCATGAAGATTAATCCCACCAGCAACTTTTTTGCTTGTGTCAGCCAGACAACAGTCTGAGAACTAGAGAAAATTAATCCATAGTTAAGCTGTTGAAAGGTAGACAATGATTGTAACAATGTATTTTCTGTGCAATTCAATGCTTATTTCATCACTGTTAAGCACGTGTATTAACAGGTCCTGATTTAGATACTGTAGACAATGGATAGTATAGCTTATTTCGGACAATGAACAAAGGAATACTCATTATAATATTAGGGTAGTAGCATTCTGAAATGAAAAGCTATAAATTTTGTATGAATGAACTTGAACCACTTTCATAATCACAAAAGTTGAATTATTAAACAATTGCTCCTCAAGGGACACATGAAACTGTTATGAGGCCAATGCTGTGCTTGAATAAAGGGCTAACCTAACCCATTTTCAAGGACACAGGTCAAATGCGTTCAAACCTTTTAATGATTTCTCCTCAATTAATAATAAGCACAGGGTGATGATATATGGCCAGTATATATCATGCTTGAGATGAAGGGCTAACAAGTTTGTTCAAATGAATAAACTTGTACCACTCTCATGGTCACAATGATCAAACATGTTACAGAACATGAAACTTCTTCCATGAATCTGCTGTGGCTCGAGGTATTTGTGTAGAAACAAGTTTGAAAAATAGACTTTTTGGTAAATTTTAAAGTAACTGACAAAGTTTCATTTTCAGCTGCCGAACAGGCGAGCAACTCGGGGCCAATAGGCCTCTTGTCTCTATGACTTAATCGATCATATGGAAATTGTATTAATGAATATTTCTGAGTAGATTGTAGCTGTAATGTAGACATTCTTTTACTTATATAGTCTACAGTTTCTACGCTTTTATTTATATTTTTATGAATATACATGTATGTGCAATATACTGGTATTAGTGGTTGTATTTTTATCCTACAACATGTGTATCTGAGTGGGATTGTTTTAAATCTCCAACATATATATTTTATTGATAGATTCCTCAGCTGTGATGATATCACTTGAAGGTTGTTTGGAAATATTTAAATATCATGTTACTTTCAGAATATTTTATAAATTAAAGATTTGACTGTTAGTATTAGAAATGTGTCTATTTTGTCAATATGTTAAATTATCAACTGATATCTATATTTTAGTGAACAAAAACATTGTTTGTGGTTTTATATACAGAATAAACCATAAATTGAAAAAAAAAGAATATAGTTTCTAAAAAAAAAAAAGTTTTCTTTCTTTTCTTTTTGTCTGCAAACTAACTTTAAGTTTGAAACTGGAAGATTTGTTATTGAAAACTATGCTTAACCCTTAATAAATTAAATTAACACTCAAATAGATGAAATGTTGACTAAGTACCAAGCAGAGTTCCATAATTGTATGCTTCGTTTCAGCCGTTTATCATGATAAAAAATATTGATTGTGTAACAGCTCATCGAGTAATACCTTTTTAACATAAGCTTGGATCAGAGTTGTTCTGTTATCAAAGATTGATTTCAAAATAATTTTTTTGCGGGAAAATGCCCAGTCATTATTCCATTGTAATTTTTTGTCTGCTTATTTACTCTTAGATAAATGCTGTATATCATTTTAAATGTATATATAGAACTGTTATTTGTCATGTAGTTGTATACCCAGGTAATGATAATATATACAGTGAAAGTCAAGTTCGCATTTGGTTGAGGGAAATTCTTTTTTCTAGTTATGGTCACTGATCATTAATTTTCAATTAAAATTTTCACAACAACTGTAAGACTAATATATCAGAAAACCTAACTCCAGTAGGAACTAAGTAGTAAGCAGATTTCAAAATTCTTTAACACTGCTTATCCAGGAAAGACTTCAGTTGAATTCATAAGTCATTAGCTAGTATAAGTAGGTACACCTTGTTGCAAGATGGCTGCCTGCCAGCCATTTTGTTTTTCAGATCAGTCAAAATCTAAAGAGCATGACAACGGACCTAGGTGAAACTACATCTGAATTTCTTGGAGATTTGTCCAGTACTTCTCAAGAAATAGATATAACTTTCATTATAAGAATGAAAGAGGACTCAAAATATCGCCACCAACATCTATGACATAAATCAGTTTTGTGCTTGAATTGTGTTACTTTTAAAAATAGATCACCAGATATATTGATGTAAAGGAACTGGTACCTGCATTTTGTGTATCAAAACGAAATGAGCAAAAAAAGATTCAACTAAGAATTTGATAATCAATATATTTTATCAGTGCAATCTACTTTTTTTTTCTTCTCAATTTATTGCGATTACAAACCAAATCATCCCTCTTTGATAACACCTTGGCCCCAAAAATCATATAATATCAATACAAAATAAATATATACTGATACTCAACATTTTGTTGTAAAATATAAATGCAAGTTCATCAATTGATAAAGACTACAATAACATGCCCACATATAAGACAAAAACAAATCCCACGTCCCAAACATTAGGAAAGTATATGAGGTAAGGCATAGAAGTTTTCCCACACTACACAAGTAAATATAAATCCACTATTAAGTCATTCTCCTTTTCCATATGGCACTTTTAACATACTAAAATTGATATAATCTCATTGCTTGAATATTTCTATACAATTAACATAGTGATGAAAGGCAAAATTTCAAGTTCCATCAATGAAACTGGAAAATCAAAAATCTACTTAGCAACCCCATTGTCTGAATTAGAAATGTTTCCTGTTTCAACTTAAACAATATCAATATTTAAGAAAATCACATTGCTACGTCAAGAATCCTGTCAACTGGGTAGACATTCACAGGAAATGCAAAAGTTTATATTCAGAGATAAACAATTTCAGTTTTTTGGTTGATTTTAGAATTTTTCTGGGAATCTAAAGCAAAACTAGAAATAACGTGTACACAAGTAAATGCTGCAGAAATGTTGATATTTCTGATGAGCAAATTAATTGTATGAGCTTTACACATGTAATTCAAAATACTGCAAAAATTCATTTAGAGCTTCTTTGCAGTTTTCATCAATCACTGATCTACACTTTATAGATGGCTGCCCCTCCACCAGGCTGAGTGGCAAAAACAGCAGACGACACTTTGGCAGATCTAGATGGCTCAACAGCATAGTATTTGTCCTTGACTTTTGAAATAAATTGTTCCACTTGATCCACAGGTACCATAGAAACAGCACAACCTCCCCATCCTGCACCAGTCAGGCGTGACCCAAGGGCACCTGACTCTCTGAAAATTGTTATATATATATATACCAATTGTGAGTTTACAATGTTTACAATTGTACAACTTTTGTGAGCATATTTATAACAAAGTTATTTGAGAAGAGGTCTATGTCAATACGTTCTCTCTCTTTTTAATGTCTGGGTAGATTTCCACCAAATTTGAACTTAAATATTGTTGCAGGTGGGTCATCATGTCTTAAATTCAGAAGTTGATTTGACACCAGGGGACCTGGAGAAGGGGTCCAAATGAGAAAGTTAGTCAACTACAATTTTGCCTCAAAACGCTATTCTGCCATAATGTTTGAATGGATTTAAACCAAAGAAGGCCTGAAATATCATTTAGGGAATGGAGTCATTTCTTCAATTCAGAAAATCCATTTGACCCTAGTGACTTGGGGGCAGGACTCCAAATGGGGAAGTATGTCAATATTTTGTTCCAAAATGCTGCTCTTCCTTAATGCTCATTGTAAATGGATTTAATTCAAATTTTGTCTGAAACAACAATTAGTTTTCAAATTCAGAAAGTTGATCTGACCTCTAGAGACTTGGGGAAGGGGCTCCTACAGGAGAAGTAAGACAAAATTAATTTGATCCAAAACACTATTCTTCTTAATGCCTCGATAAATTTTAACCAAAGTTGGAATGTAGTTACCTCCCCTCTTATTTCTATGACAGCTGAATACAGTACTGGGACAGGGGTGATTAAAGTGAAAGTTAGTCGCTGGCCCTGTTGGCAAGCTGGTCCAAAATAAGGAGGATGCAGACCTATAGGCAAGAGAAAGACTATTTTTTGATGGATGTTGGCCCGAACAAGGGAAATTCTCTGGGGATTTGTAGGGGAGGAGAGGTTCGCACTTGATGGATGTTGGACTGAACAAGGGAAATTCTCTGGGGATTTGTAGGGGAGGAGAGGTTCCCACTTGATGGATATTGGCCCGAACAAGGGAAATTCTCTGGGGATTTGTAGGGGAGGAGAGGTTCCCACTTGATGGATATTGGCCCGAACAAGGGGAGGAGAGGTTCGCACTTGATGGATGTTGGACTGGACAAGGGAAATTCTCTGGGGATTTGTAGGGGAGGAGAGGTTCGCACTTGATGGATGTTGGACTGGACAAGGGAAATTCTCTGGGGATTTGTAGGGGAGGAGAGGATGGATGTTGGCCTGAACAAGGGAAATTCATTTGTAGGGGAGGAGAGGTTCGCTTGATGGATGTTGGACTGGACAAGGGAAATTCTCTGGGGATTTGTAGGGGAGGAGAGGTTCGCACTTGATGGATGTTGGACTGGACAAGGGAAATTCTCTGGGGATTTGTAGGGGAGGAGAGGTTCGCACTTGATGGATGTTGGCCTGAACAAGGGAAATTCTCTGGGGATTTGTAGGGGAGGAGAGGTTCGCACTTTAAAACTTTCTAACTCCTAAATGACTGAAATGGTTTATCAGTACTTTTGAATAACAAATGACTGCAACATACACTAGACGTGATGAAACATAAACTGGACAGTTAAATATGAAGATAAGGCTGGGATGATTGGTCCAGTTAACTGTGAACCTAAATGAGTAAAAGCAACAGGCCAGTTCACAACACACTCCCCATAAATCGTATTTTGTAGCTTTTTGAAAGTCTTGACAACAATGTAACATCAGAAATTTAGCCAGTGATTCATTAACCTGAAATTTTGTTAATATATTCATTTATGGAAAATTTAATCAAAGTTTCATTTTATGTAAGAGCATCCTTCAAACAGAAGTCAGATCTACAATACAGAAATTAGCATTATAAGGTTCTGCTATAATCAATGGACTGAGCCTTAACTAACCAGTTAACAGTTTTATACTTACAAACAAATATTGACCAGCTTGTCTAGATCAGTACAGCTGCACTCGTACATGTCTCGACAGCTAGCGTGGCTTTCACTCATAAGAGTTCCAAGACGCTTGAGGGCGTCGCTTGGATTCTCATCACAGATGCGCTTAAATTGAAGGACACGGTTGGCTTCACTGAACACATGGGTTGCTCGGTCATGTAGTTTGAAAGATTGCACTGCATCAAAAACAAAAAAAACTTATGCATTGACAGTCTCATGTTAATGTGTTTATATTCAGTGATAAGTCTAAATCAGGCAACAGGTAGCTTATAATCCATCCACATCTATTGCAGTTTTACATGAATCCCCAACAAATGCTACATTGTTCTAGACAATCCTGTTTCCATATTTTGAATCAAAGTTTATCTTTTTGCCTATCCATTTTTACACTTATACAAATCAGGGATTTTGGTTTCCATGTACAAGAAATATTAAATCTATTAAAAATCAGGTCAGTATTTTTTTATTAATCTAGGTTTTAGTTAATGGACCAATTTTTCCTTATATCAACAGAAGTGTAATTGAATCAATAAATGGATATGATTTCCATCAGAAGATAAGCCTATATCCTATTTACAACACAGGAAATTTAAATCAAAGATTCACTTTCCATTACTGAGAAAACCTAATGCTGTTGAATTACAATGACATGGTAATATTACATGTGATATTTACCATTTGCTTATTACATACATTTACAGGACAAAATGGCAACTTCTGTTGATAAACAATGCTTGATCAACACTCTTTGCCCAACATACACAAATAAGGCCTGTAATACACAAAGTCATAAACAGACCTCATCAACTTATTGCCTTATTATATATAATTTATTTTCAGTCAAACATAATGATAAACTTGATTACCTGTTAGAGTATTGGTACTGAGGGTGGTTTCCGCTAGTTGTTCAGGTGTAACCTCCAGAATTCCACACACCTCTTCTTTTGTGTATGGCTCCTTGTGAAAAATTTCCCCTACAATAACTAAAGCTTCTTCCAGACTCAGACCAAGTGTTTTTTGTACATCACCAATACGTTTGAAATCCTGCCAGGTTAACCCCTTTGACTTGGCAATGATCTACAATAAAAACAAATTATTTGTATATCACACGTACTGACTTTTACTGAAGTAATGGGCCTCTGTAAGTGTGTGAAGTTTGATCGTAATCTTGCAAGGAATGAAGCCATAAGAGTGCTGATCACAATTTCCAAAAAATAGTAATGTAGGCCTTGACCTTACCACCCTGAAGCTCGAAATAAATTAAGACATTTAAGTGTTTTACAAGTATGTTAATGTTGATGAGAATTCCTCAAAGAATGAAGCAGTTAGACTGCTGACATGATCTTTGTTTAAGAAAGAAACCTTGACCTTAACCCAATAACCCTGAAACTCAAACTTGACCAAGAGACTTGGACACTTAATAAGTGTGTGAATTTTTATAAGAACCCCTCAGAAAATAATCTGCTGGAGTGTATTAACATTCCAAGATCGAGGGACAGCAGACAGAGAAGGAAAAGTGAATCATATTCTTCCCTCTTCCTCCTGCTTCAGCAGCAGTTGACTTAAAAAAAAATGTTTATATAAGGTTATGGCAGCTTTGAAAATTATTTCAGAAAAGTTTCTGGATATTTTTCATCCTTATTTTTACTATAAATGATGTAGCTTTATAACATGGCATCTTAATAAAACTGAAGGGTGATATCAATATTGAAGATCTCTTATCAAAGCACTAATATTTATTTGAATGAAAAATATAATGTTTCAACCTCTTTGTGATGTGAACCTTATCTCAATCAGAGGGTAATATTTTAGTATAATTAACTCTGATAAGCGCTAAACTTCAAATAAAAATCATTATATCGTGAGGGCTGAGACAACATTATGTCCATTACATAGAGTTGATTGATTATTTTCCCTAAACTCTCCTATTGTTTTAACTAAACTATTGGAAGTAAGATTAATAAAATCTGTTACAATTGTACCTGTAACTGAGTCAGATCGGGTTATCTCAGTCTCGGACTAAGTTCCTGCAACATAATCTCAACAGAGGCGTTAGCCGAGGTTAAGATGTTACAGGATCTTAGCCTGAGACTGAGATACCCCAGGTGATAGATTTTTTCTCGCACCTACTACTCTGAAAATTATTCAATATTTCATCAGAGTTTGGCCTATCCTGATGGAGCATCAAACTACCCACACAGCCTTTTCACTTTTAAACAATGTTTGGATAGTGTCACATAAACAATGTAGGCAGCACTTACAAAAAAATATAGCACAATTTACAATGAAGATCTTATTTTATCTACAACATCAGGAATCTCAACAACATCAAAAAGTACAATTTTAACAATGACAGCATATGATTTTGTTGAAATGTACAGGTGTAGGTGCTATCTACGCCTACACGAGGATGGATTTACTATGCGTAAAAAAATCCATGAAAACACATCTAAGAATACTAGACAGATCGGGCAAGATAGAAAAATGTAGGATTGGGTTTTAAGTGGGATATCACTGTCTGAGGTGCGAGAAACATGTGTCTTGATCAGTACATTGTCCTATTAGGAATGGCCCATGAAGAATTGCATGCTGAAATTGATACCTGTAACATACAGTGGGTAAAGAGGTGATATGGCTCTGCTGTAAGAGTTGCTTATAAAAAAAATCCCTTGAAATAAACAGATTGATCTTTCTGTAGCATAAATGGGGATGCACCTGTGAAGTGTAAAAATTTTTTGTCTGTCATTGGTTGTTGAAATAGGGTGTACACACCTGAGCTACAAGACGACATTCCACCACACGGATGTTGAAGAACGAGGTGGCAGCTTTATTCATTTCTACACAGCTGTTGGTAATTACAAATGCAGCATCACCTGGTAGCTGTACATCAGTGGTACGCAAGGGAGAAAACTCTATGTGCTTGGCCTGATTTATGGAAACAATGCAAACAAATGAATAAAAAAGGATTTCACACACAGAAAATACTACAAATATTGTCAAAAACAAAAACTAGAGGCCCAATGTGCCTGCATCGCTCACCTGGTATTCAATGGTCATCAAAAAAAGAAACTTTGATAATATAACAAATATATTGACATACACACCTTTGGCATTCAAAGTGGACATATCAAATTAATTCTAACAAACTCAATAACTAACAGCTGATCATACTTAACTCTAAGCAGTGACAGTTAGGACTTGGATTATAGGTAAATACAATTTCTTTCTCAGAACTTGTTGGGGTTTGACCTAGAAATGACTTTCCACCAAAATCCACCCGCTTCTCAGACTTTTGTTTCAGCATACATGTTTTAACAAATTTGATCCCTGTGACTTTCAATATGGGTCACAATGATTTCTTTTCTTAAATGTTGTCAGGTGTCATCCTTATAAGCCCTTTGGGTCAGGTGAGCCAAAAACAAAACTGATATACTTGCCTAGCTATTGGATAAAGTCAGCTGGAAATCTAGGTACTGATGTCCTAATAGACGTGAAAAGGCCACAGATATTGATGAAGCCTACCTTACATTATGCATTTTCTTCCAATGAAGTATCCCTGTTTCTGTGAATGCCTAAGCTGATTCACTGCATAAATAATGCAAAAATATAACTTGTCAAATAATGATATGTGCATTTATTATTAATTGAATCATTGATGTCTTATTTCTATTGGAATATTTACAGTTCCTTCTTGAGCCATGAAAGATATTGCCTGATCCATTCCACCACCTTCAGTTCCAATATGACACTCGCACTGAGCACAGATCTCTGACAACTCTTTCTGTTGACAAAATAAAATAATTAGGAGGGAAGTAATATATATGATAGTCATATTATATACTCATTCACACCCTACATCCGTGTGGAACATACTTATAAACACCAGCTCTGTATATAGTATTGATGATAATACCTGATGTATATATATACAAAGATATGGATGTCTACGTCTATATTTTGTAGCTTTCACATCATCATTCTGTATAGATAAGCAAATTTGTATGTATTAGATAATGAACATGTTTTCATTTTGACCAAGATTTCATTTTAAAACATTTATAAATTAAAAATACCTGTCAATTGTTGTGTTTTTTTCTTTTAGAGAAGAAGAAATAGAGATAATTTTAGGTAAACAAAGACAAACAAAATCAATAGACAGACACACAGACAAACGCATATATATCGACTGACACACAGACATGCAAAAAACTCAATTAACACAGGGATAAGGACAGATAGAGAAGACAGTGACAGGCTTTGGAAAATCAAAATATTGAAAATAGATAATTGAATTTTTTTTTAAATATTTGCTCAAAGATAGTACATTGACATTGTGATGGTCTTTTGCAGTATTAAATTGATTATAGAATTTATGTTTTATGGGTGAAATGATAATGTTAATTTCTTTACCAATTTTACTGCACTTATTTTTGATTCACCAGAAAATTGATTTTAGGCCTGTAATTTATTGAAAAGAAATTGTTTTAAGCAAAAGTTAACTCTATGCAGATAGACAAATGATGGATAGAAAATGATTTCCATACCACAAGATGATTCAAAATTAATTTTCAAATAAATTTTGAGGTGGAAAACACAATTTTATTGATATGTGACCGATTTACCTTAGATATGGAATAACCATGGGCATACATTGTGACCAGGGCAGAGCAGCAGACTAGAGCACTAGAACTGGACAGTCCTGAACTGGCTGGAATATTTCCACTGACCATACAATACATTCCTCTGAGTGCATTGGGCTTGGCATACTCTAAAATGCCTTTCACTCCACACAGGAAGTAATTGAACCATTTTGGGTCTGACTTACTAATTGTAAAATCTTTTATACTGCACTCAAAATCTCTGAAATCAGAATTACAGACAAAACACCTTCAAAAACTTGAAAACTGATTTCATAATCATTCTAAATTTTCATAATAAAAATGATTCATAATTTCTACTGCACCAGTACTCCTAACAGAAAACTTTCTACTTTACCATGGCAACAGAAATATGTACAATTTTTTTTGATCCTGTATGCACTTATTTTTGTGTTTATTTTTTGTAAGTTTACTTTGCAATAACCTCATGATCACTGCCTTGAATTTATTCATACAATTTATAATCATCTAGATTGTAGATTGAATTCCAATAAACAAATACAGGAGATGAATTAAACCATTATGTGAAGGCGAGGTTCCACATTCAAAATTACTTACTGATAAGAAGGATTCATGTTTGAGAGTATGATCTTGTCTGATGTGCTACTGTGCGACACTGCTATAATGATGTCCTGTTCTATAGCCATTGGCAACACTGAATAACCACAGTAGTCTACATGTTCTCCTGTAAAAAAAAAATGGTTTAAGATGGCAGAGAAATTTCAGGGGCATTGTTCATGATAATTTAAATATTTTCTTCAATCATCAATTATTGTTGTTAACCTCTGATCTACGTGTGATTACACAATGTTATATTGCTTGATGTGCATGCAAACTTTGTGGAAATGTACCACAAAATAATAGGAGTAATTTAATTACCACATTGATAAAAATTTCAAAGAAAATTAAAACAGGTTAGTAAAGTAAGACATAAATTACATTTGATGCACCACAAAATACATGGATGACATACCTATGATATTCACTCTGCCAGAGGCTCTGGCAAAAAATTCTGGGGGATTTCCAAACTTCTTGAGAAAATTATTTTTGATATCATCATATCTGTAAGACAAAAGTGGTATTGGTAATTACTGTATCACAACATCAAGATAATAAAATGCAGAGTTTGTCTTATTACTATATCAAACAGATTATTAATCACTTTATGGGAACTGATTGAATATATTTGTTGAATGAAATACTATTGAAATGTACTAACAACAAAGTCAAGCATCCCTGATTTGAGTGTTAACATTTATCTATGCAGAAGACATAGCTCATCATTTTAAAAACCCAAATAGTTCATAATTGTAAAATTATTAAAATCATTAAACTATTTTAACTTTTTAGATACTTACAAAGCTACATATATGTACATGTAGTGAAAAGACTATATTTAACAATTAACAAGATCATTAACACTATATACTGCAAGATATTTTACCAATGATCAATCTACATCTAAATTCCAAGTCCTGCACTCAGGCAACTTTAATGACACTGTAAGAATTTCTGGAAATATTTAAGATTTCACATTGTGAGAGCCATTATTTTCAGCAATAAACTGGATATTACTCAATAATTAAGTCATATGTCGATTAATGTTGTACATGTACCGTTAGGCCTAGTACAAAGGTTGAAAACGCCCCATCATTAAGTACCAATACGCACAGGCACATGTAACCAGGGGGACTGCCCATATACGGAGGAGTTGACGCTATAAAGCGGCATTATGCGTACCTCACTTGTGTACTACTAGAGCCCTGAGTGTGAATATTAGTCTACAATAAACTGTAGGTGTTCATAGCTACATAAAACTAGTATAAAGTTGCAATGTGGAGAGAGTGCTATATATATGATATAGCTGATAGTATACATGTACATGTAGCTTTGTACACGTTTTAACGTCAGTTCACGATCTGATACAAAACAAGTGGGTAACCTTATGCAAATGCAATAGGGATGTGCAGTTCTAAGTACATGTACATGATTAATGCATTAATATCAAAGCATACTATCACAGCATACCGTTTCTGTTTTTGTTGTGGAATATCAGACACCGGCGGTACGGCCTCCATCTTGCGATCATGTGATCATATTTTCATGGTCACGCAGACGCTTAAACGAAGAAAGATTGCAAAAAAAAATTATGAATAAGTATGTACAGGGACGTATATATATCACAGACTATCAATGACCATCCGAACAGGCTTACGCATTATATTAATGAATAATTTCTTCAAATTGGCCCAAATACATTCCTCATTATAATGCGAGGTCATTGTTGTAAAATGGAAATCGGAATAATAATTTAAACCAATGCAAGTCATATACTAACTTCCAAGTTCGTCGTGCCAATAAAAAATACCCCCTGCCCACTTTCTGACGTCCCTGTCATACCGTGGCACAGGTATAAAAGTGTATATTGATAGAGATGGATAGACAGCTGCCATTTTGTTACGCAAATTTTTTCAAGTCTGTGTGGACTATATGAACTTCCTCGTCCGGCAGAGTTTCACGTGATTCGAAAAATTGGCGGGGGGAAAAAATCGTCGACAGTATCCATTGTCGGCGGCCAATCGATGTATAGTTTGACCAGTCGGACCTTCTGATTTTATTGAGATATTTCCTTTCTATAAGCACTGGTTTTAGCATGCCCGTCCCTTTATGGCCTTTATGTCTACATCATAGGCGCTTAACTCCTCCAGAAAAATAAACTGCGGCATGTACAAGTAATAGAATGTGGTCCGCAAAACAAGCAAATATTGATTTTTTTGTCTGTGAAATGCAAATTTCTTTTGAGCAAATATAAATGCATGCATGTACATGAGTTGCTATTTGATGGGAACATAATTTGATTGATATATTACGTTCAGTCTAACCAACAGGAAAAACTGATTGACTGATACCTGTAGACAAAAAAAGGCCAAACTTTAAACTGTACCATACATGTTCGTTCAACAATCCGATCAATGTCAGGTTGTCGGAATCAGAACCGAGGTATAGGTAGTGTCAGCTAAGCTACGAGAGACACTAATTGTAAAAAACATAGAAGATCTTAGAGCAAAAAGAAAGCGGATGTTATGATTTTGACCATTAAAGTTTCCCTTAATCAAAGGTATTAAATTAGATATACTATTAGATATTGACTATACTGAAATTAGTAATGCTCTGAATGTCAGTTTCGTTAAATGACCAATGAACTAAATACCTATTTGTATTTTCAATAAAGTCGGTGTATTTCATGCAGATAAAACTATCATCTTGTTTTTTTTTTTTTTTACACGAAAGAACATAATATAAACATACTTATTTATTTTAATGATTTGAATACATCGAGGAAGATTATCTCAGCGTGGTACAATAGGAATTTTATTCTGACGTGTATGGAACGTGAGTTGGGAATTCTAGCCAAGTCCCTGTGGTCTAAATCGATTTTTTTTCCACCACATTGCAGCTTCTCGCCAGTATCAGCAGACTTACAGCCAACAACCGATTTACGATACACTTGGTCGATTGCCTTCAGCAAGTTCTTTTAAATTCAATCACCAGATGACATACACTGTAAAGCCTACTTCACAGCACCAGCCGATAAATATTTATTTTGAACAATAAACCACGTGATTAAATATTCGGTTTCACCTGGGATTTTACCTGGTGTGTATACTGTTTTGAATCCCGTAGCGACTCGACTTTTACCTGTAGTACATTCGGTTACAACACCTGAACTACAGGTATATACAACCCACCTGTGAAAATGTCGAACAGTTCTGGCGGAGGATATTGGATAAACGAAAGCATCAAAGATGAACTTTTTGAGGATCGGTACACAATTGGTCCTGAGCTGGGGAGGTAAGCTGTGAGACTGTATTTGACAGTGTTTACCCGGATGTTAAAAACCGTTTCCCCTGGTGTATATACAATGTACAGTATATACCTCCAGCCCTTACATATTCGAAACGGTGCACGATAGGCATAAAAGCGTTTGAGATTTTCTCTACACAGCAAGTCAGTAACCCACATGTTGATGATAATTCCTTTATTCATTGAAAAAAAATCTGTTCGGTCACCGAATCATTTCTATGGCAACAAAATAATATACATAGGGTTCCCAAATATGACGTATCTTAGTTAATTTGCTATCAAATCTCAATCCAGTTCACGGTAGATTTGATTTTCAGTTCTATTAATTGTTGTTTGTATTATTGATTCAATCTTGATCTTAAATTGTTTATTACGACAAGCAATAGCACAGGGAAGATAGGCTCAACCGTAAACAAGTTAGAGAAAGGTAAATAATCTTACACTGCTTACATCTGTCACGTGTACAAGTGTGTACACACGTGTGTGTAGTGTTGGTGGTGGCGGGGAGGGGGTGGGGGACTTTTATTGAAGGTTATCAAAATACCTATATATCCCTGTAAAATATTCTGCACTAAATACATTTCGTATTATCATTTGTACCGAGAGTATGTACAATGATGTAAGTGTATGATAGGTGGGAGAGGAGGGGGTGATGAGGAGGGAGATGGTGTCAGATTACAAATCAATGTATCAAAATTAAAATGTAAACGCAAATGAGCATGCATGTACGTGTACAGCTATACAAGGAGAATGTATGTAGCGAATATCTATATACATATTGGACATACATTATATCTACCCTATACTTATACATATTGGATATATAACATCACAAACCAGCTAACACATACATTATATCTACCCTATAATTACATGGTTGACCACTAAATATACAATCATTGCTTAACTTCGAAAATGAAAAAAAAGATAAATGAATAAATAAATGAATAAATGATAAATAAATAGATAAATAAATAAGGATACGGCATAGACCGATTCTACCCCTAACTGTTCACTACGTCGTACTTTATATATGGATAAATGATAAATAGATAGATAAATAAATAAGGATACGGCATAGACCGATTCTACCCCTAACTGTTCACTACGTTGTACTTTATATATGGATAAATGATAAATAAATAGATAAATAAATAAGGATACGGCATAGACCGATTCTACCCCTAACTGTTCACTACGTCGTACTTTATATATGGATATGGTAAGTTTGAACTTACTTCATTTAGACAGATTTCACGGTTGCATGTTGATCAATACAAGATTACAAAGGCTTAAATTGAATTTTAAACTTGTAACCATCTACCTATGTGTAATAATAGAGTCCTCGTGAGGAGTTGTTTATCTAATTTGTAAACGCAGATAAATACAGTTTTCTTGTAACTTAAATAGGAGTTTATAAATATTCTCTTGTCAAACTTGAAGGCTTGTATTTATGGACAGGTAGGATAAAAGGTTTAAATATCCCATGTTAGAATTTTAGAGTGACAATGACGTCACAATGTTCCCAATCAAATTAAGTACGTAGTAAGGTGAAACTCCCGATGGAATTAAACCTAGCGTCTAATACTTTCTACTTACATACCTACATTGGTATCTGGGGTCACACTAAGCCCACTTAATGCCATACATAGACACCATAGTGTACCAATGAGCAAAACATTGTTAGTTTCAGAGGAGTTTGATAAATTTTCTCTTTTTTACAATTTTGTTTAATAATTAAAACAAAATGCACGTAGACGAGTTTCGAGCAAAATAATACAAAACAAATACTAGTACGCCAAAAAATCATTTTCGCTCGAATGATTGAGTAAAAAACATTTACCTAACAAGACACGGTGAATTAAAGGTAGCTATGAAGTTCAGAGAAAAAAACTCGTTTAATATAATTATGATTTTTGAGTGCAGAATATTTACGAATCTAGTGCGCTCGTTTACATTAAACGGAAATAAAGTCCACATTCGTTGATTTCAGTTATCAGTAATCTGTGTATGATCGGCAACCTTCGATTCGAAAAAAATATCCATACATACCATACACATGTAGGGTTACCACGTCAAGCACTCGTAAATTATTTATTGTGTCATGATATTTTCAGACAAAATCGATTTTTTGTCACCATGTGCACGTGAAATGATTTAATCTTGATGCGATTTATCTGCGACGGAATATTAAGTTAGGAATATGGCAGAATTGATTTTGTGTGGACCCAACTGGAGGTCTATAGTAGTGAACTTAATAGTTTTCCTGGAAACATAAGTTAGTTCAGGGTTTTATACTTAGTCCAAAGGCAGATTAGACCATGGAGCTATATATAAGCGCCCCCCCTCCCCCCTCCCATCCCCCCCCCCCCCCCACACACACACCCGGGGTTTAAATACACCCATGCCACTAATTTTGGTAGAAAACGCACCCTTTCCTTCAACATTCTAGAGATAGGTTGCCACAAAATCCTTCTTTTCCTTCAGTATTCTGAGGATAGTTTGCCACAAAATCCTCCTTTTCCTTCAGTATTCCAAGGATAGGTTGCCACAAAACCCTCCTTTTCCTTCAGTATTCTTAGGATAAGTTGCCACAAATTCCTCCTTTCCCTTCAATATTCTAAGGATAAGTTGCCACAAATTCCTCCTTTCCCTTCAGTATTCTTAGGATATGTTGCCACAAAATCCTCCGTTGACCATAACAGAACCGCTTTCATTTTTGGTAATTTCAAGTCATATACGTAATACTTTCTGAAATTTTGTATAGTGTTACAAGAAATAAAATATATATGTAAATTCACCCGACTATTTAAAAAGGATATAAATGCATACATTTATTTTTTAACCTAGCAGTTTTGTTCGGATTGGGAAAACGAAGCCTGTATATACAAATTGGTGTTCCGAAAGTAAAATAAAGCCCACGCTTTTACGAGGTTGCACTCAATTATTCATTTTTCCATATGTTTACGGTTCTTCTGTTTAGGGAGACTTACTAGCTTAATTAAACAACCACGTTAAACACGACCCCATTCATTATCTCTAAAAATATTTAACGATCCTCTATTATTGTATGGTAATCTTTTCTTTTTCTTTTCATCTGCAGAGGCACAAATTCAGTTGTCAACAAGTGTACTAGTCGGCTGACCGATGAAGCTTGGGCGGTCAAGACCATCAACAAAAGGGTACGTACATTTGTGTTTATCGTTACTATGGCCTGAGTTGACACAGAGATGTTGGTCATCTCCTAAAGAATGTCGCAAATTCAGGAGTGAAGGCCATCAACACAGGATTTATGAGAAACAGGATTAGGACTTTGACAGTATCAGAGGTCAAGGTTTTGAAAGAAAATTTAGGATAATGTGTGTAAGTTAACACTTATTTGATGTTTGTTGTAGACACATAGATGTAGCCGAGGCGAAGTAGAGAAGGAAGTCGGCCTGCTGCTGATGCTAAGTCATCCGAATTTAGTGAGTAAAAGAACATTTCACTGTTTTGTCTTTAGGATATTGCAAAGATAATCACTTCTATTAAGTATACAAAATACCTTTCTAATGATATATTGCATATTACTTACATGGTGTGTAGTTGTGATATAATTTTAACTTTAGAAATTCCCACAAAATTTAGACACCAGAATTATTTCAATTTTCATTTTTATTTTATTTTCATTTTGGGGAAGAACAGCCTTGAATTTGTTTGTATTTTACATAACATTGATGTGGGTAGATCGCCACAATCTTGCCACACGGCCATCTCAATTTATAGGAGGAAGAAACTTAAAACTTTAAAGATCCAATCATAAAATGAGAGGAAATAATATTCGACGTATTTATGAACGCCCCATTACACACATACAATGTGGAGGATTTCACACTGGGTGATGTCATGGTATAAACACATAGAGGTGCTAATATTCATTTATATAGAAATATCTCAATATTGTAGGTGTTGATGTAATTATGCATGTCGCCTTTTCCAGACTTTTAACAAAGTACCAGACTTTGATGGAAAAAAGAAAATTGATAATGAAAATGAATATTGAATATAGGTATCAAAGCTGTCTTTTTGAAATATTACTCGCAAAGCTCCGATTTCTTTGAAAATTTTTCTTTGAGTTGAAACCGGATTTAACAAATGGTATTTAAAGCTCGTTTTATACTTTTGATATTAATATTCGGTAGCGTTTGTAACTTGTAAGGTCAAAATTAAATATGTTAATCTCAATATGAAAATCTACTTATATCCTGTAATAAGTGTAAAAAATCGTTTACTTACTCAGGACCATGGCGGCTAACATACACTTATCCAATATGGATTAACGATAAGTCATTTTCTTACTCATACCGTCGACCCAATTTTATTACAACGTTCCCTTAATAGTTTTACAGACAAGTTAGCATGAAAGAAAATTTTAGAAAACAATTTTACCATTTCAACCTTGACCCGAACAGGAATTTAACATGCATTGAAATAGAGATATATGTATAAAAATTATTCGGTGTAACAGAATAATATACATTGTAGTTTGATAACTAGATTATCTACATTTTCGCATATGCGGAATAGATATTTCTCGATTATGAACTTAAACCTTCTAATTTTAGCAATTAGTGCTTGAGAAACATAACGCCTCATGTCACGTTTTCAATGGTTTGTAAATTATACACTGTAGTTGGTGATTAACATCTTACAATATACAGTACCAAGTTCACATTACAGGATTTTTTAACTATCAAACATTAGTTCCTGTCAGGTTTTCCCACAGATTCTCTCGATATTCTTATTGTTTATTCAGGATAATTTTTTATTTCCCTAAAGTTTACCATGGCAATTTATTTTAAAGTGGCTGCTTAGAAATGTTTATTGATAAGAATTGGCAAATTTCTTATCTACCCGTGTCTGGTACTGAAACATTTACATGTATTGCTAATAATCTAAGTTAACTTCGACTACGCTGTAGTTACATTGTGCTAGTGATAACACAGTTTCGTAGATAAGGTGTTCTACAAGGAGATTCTGTTTGACATCTAGTGTTTTATGGAAGTATGAACAGATTTTTATCTATCTAGAAAAAAATATATATATAAAGCGATATTTTCAAATATTTTGAACTAAGAAAAGATAGGAATAGATATATAAAATTATCCCGTTGACCAAATATCATTGTCTTAAAATGTTTTCCATATTTAAAGATTGATCATTAGAAAGCATCGTATGTTGTTTTTGAGGAAACTAGTTATGTTACGAATGCCGAGCCAACGATAGATCAAGTGTTCCTCTTCCTTCTTTAGATACGTCTGAAAGAAATTTACGAGACACCAACACAACTGCAGCTGGTGTTGGAACTTGCTAAAGGGGGAGAACTCTTCGACAGGTAAGGACTGATTATCTTAACAAAATCAACTAAATAGGGAGATTAATCGTGTCGCTCTGATTTTAGCTAATTCCACAAAAAGTCAAAAAGTTGAAAAGAACTAATCTGACAAAAGTCGTCGAATAAATATCTAAATAAGAATAATAAATAAATACAATTGCGAAACCTCGAAACTCGTATAAGTTTAACATTAAGAGATTTTGAAGCTATTTTTACTGCGTACTGCATTGGACTCAGTTATCTATAGATCTGTATTCACAGAGTTTACTTGGCAATTCCCATCTATGAAATCAATACTTTTCTTTTGAACAAGTCTTCTATAGATAACTGAAAGAAAGTTTATATCTGTATCATTACAAATATTTACAATAGAAACATACCCAGGGTTCCTATCACAGCAGAAGTACAGCTGATTGATACTCGAGGATTGTATATTCATGATACACTATTGTTACATTGCATTACATATTTATATGACAAAATAACACTTCTATTGTTCTGAGATATATTGATCGCAACTTTCCTTACAGAATATAGATGGAACGATCTGATGATCACACACAAAGGCATTGTAAACTGTGGGTGAACGATAACATTTATATCTTTCAAATAAGTGAAAAATACATGCATCCCAACCTATGGATGAAACGGTCTGAGGATGTGCTCACAATTGCAATCTTTCAGTAATATTTTAAAAGAATAAAGAAAACAGTTATTGTGCTCATTCAGATTAACTTTTTCTTAATATTTTAACAAATTAACACCGTTCCAGCAATACTGCTAATGCTGAATATCTTGTGTCTTGGGCAAACCAAACAAAAATGAGAGCATGCAATCATGTTACATGTAAAACAGTGAAGTTAATGGAACACGAATACTCTGAACACGGTGTCACATATATTTCTATGCAGAAATTGTCCATATGTTTGATGCATTATTAGAGCTTGCAGGTGGTAGCTACGACTGGTAGATTTTATACCCAGATGTTTGCCATAACCTGCATTCTAGGTTTTGATTCATTAGAATAATGGTACGGTTTAAAATGTAAACTTATACATGTTCTTTCAGTTCTTTGAAGTAGTTCAATATTGACAAATATTTTGACATTGATTTCGACCTATTTCGTTTGTCCCTCCGATATTTGATTTATTTTCACTGCCGAGTCCAAGAAAGGTGAAAAAACATGATACAGTATTCTTCATTATTTGACTCTACGTACAATTTTCTAAGAAAACCTGTCATCCTGTCTTAACTAATTTTGGTATTTGGTTTTTTCTAAAGCATTGAGACTCGTGGTACATACACTGAGAAAGAAGCGGCACATGTCATGAGAGACATTCTGGAAGCTGTGCGGGTAATTACGTCATTTATAAATTCGATCTCACTTCGCGTGACATATTTGTTTTCGATCATTGAGTTTTTCTCATAGTTGCCTTATAGGTCCTTAAAATCACTGACGAGTCCTAAAAGGACGCACCAGCTGTATGATGCAGTTTTATTAATTATTTGGATCCAATTTTTTTAACAATATTTAATCTGTTAACTTGACTCAAAGATTCAAGAGATGACTATCCCAACAAACAGTATGTTAACTAAATAGAATTTATTTGTCGATTCAGTCAATCTTAAATGATGTAAGAGCTTTGTTGATGAATGTCTTCATTTTGAATTGGCAGTGGACATTTAAATGACAAGAATGCTAGGATATGGATTACACTGTGTAATTTGGGATTGTTTATGTTTCAGTACATGCACGAGAAAGGCATTATACACAGAAATATTAAGGTAATATACAAATCCCTGCCTCTCTATATTCTATTAGGAGATGACAATTTGCGGTTGCTGAATTTATTTTCTTGTTGACCAGTAAAGTAAAAAGTTATATCCGATGATAAGGTCTGTACCCGTTCACTTCAAATTTCACAGTCCAGTCCCCCTACCGCTCTTAGAAAAAAGAAAAAAAACATGGTCTTCCAAATTCTTTGGAACTCATTTTTGCGTTTGGAGTGTTAACTACATTTATATATTACTTTATATATTTTCCATTCCGCTGGCGCCGACATGTTCAAACTCTACCACACCATGGTTGGAACCAACATTGATCAGTGGGTGTATGCGCCTTCTCAGAATAACCCATTATGATAATCCATAAAAAAACATTTTGCATTTTGAACAAAACAAAACAATGCATCTAACTTACTGTTGTCATCTTCTGAATTGCACTATCAAGTGTTATACTGCACAGCAAACGATATGTTGTGGATTTAGGAATTTTTGCTTTGTTTGTGTGACTTTGTAACTGTTTTACCATCAACATCCACAAAGAGGTAAACTTTTCGTCGATTAATTATGACATTTGTTTTAGTTTGAATGGTTGATAACGGAAACAACACAGTGTTTTATTTTTAATTACAGCCCGAAAATCTTTTACTAGAGGATTTAAAAGATATTCCAAGAATAAAACTTGGTGAGTTTATTACCATTGTTTAATTAACATATACAATCACCTTTTAAGGGGTTGCTTGAGATTCAGGTTGAATAAGACTAGTCCACCTTATTTATGGTTCTCGGTCTGCACTCGGTTTAGTTGTCGCTGACTCGTTTCCTATTTAAAGATCCTGATATTTCTCTGATTTAGATAGGTTTAAATAGTGTGATATACACAAGACGCGGCCCTTTATTTATTCTCATCGTACTTAATATAATTTCTTTGTGGGAAATCTTGACTTTGTCCAGAATTATTCTGACATTTCTTCATTAACTCTGATTTACATGACCGTTCTGTATACTTGTTGAATCGGACAAATCATAATAGTGGCCTAAATGTTTTTTAAGCCATTCTTTAACTAATGTATCATTTCTATATTTCATACAGTATTCCAAGACAAAACAGATTCGCGTGATACAGTAATTCTATGTAATGTTGTATTCTAAAAACTGGATATGGTTGTTTTAATTAATGATTATGTGCGTCAGTTCCATTATTTAAACGTTTCCTGACTAAGAATTCTATTATGATTTCTCTGCTTTTAGCTGATTTTGGCTTGACGATGATTCAAGAAAAAGATGTACAAATGAACATGGTGTGTTCCTCTCCAGATTACAGTGGTAAGTGAATACATACTGATTACTACAAGATCAAGCCAAACATTCTTCAACTGACAAGTAGATAGGTCAGATTAACTCATTCGTGACCATTCATGGCAAAATTGACGACACAAGCTAAGTAATTTGATTGGCTTAAAGGAGTTTAAGAAAAAAAAATAATACACTCCTTAGAAATGTACAAAGGTGCGACACCTAACTTCAATGCCAGTACAACATACCGTTATGCGACATTGAGGTTCTTTTGATGTACATCAAAAGGTCAAACTGATCTTCTCGTCTTATTTAAATCAAACATGGATCCTTCAGTTTTGCCAGGGATTCAAAGGGATCGTAGCTCCTAACTGTGCTTTGTTTTTCATTTGTATTTACAGCTCCAGAAATGCTACGAGGGATATCGTGTTCTAAAGCTGTAGACATGTGGAGCTGTGGGGTCATAGCTTTTGTATTGTAAGTATGCGAAATATGTTCAAATGTGTTTCCCATTTCCTTTACATATAGGATCAGGATTCGAACAAGAATTGAAAATACAGTAAAGAATATATATGTAATACCCAGATGAATGTGTTCCATAGAAATATGTCAAATTTGAAGCAATGATTACCCTATTCGATTTTCTGTTTCGCATGAGAAACATGTTGAGGTTTGTAATTCTCGTCAGAAGATGTTGCTTCCTTCCCTTCTCTAAAGGGCCGCGATGGCCGAGTGCTTAAGGCGTCTGACTATTTTAATCACAAACCCTCAACCTCTGGGCCTTCATGACAGTTGTCAGGTAGTGACCGCAATTTGGAGGCTTTCCTCCACTACCTAAACCTGGCACGTCTTTAAGTGACACTGGCTATTGGTAGGACGTAAAGCAATTATAAACTAAACAATTAACCCTTTGATTGCATTACCAAACCTAAACAGTTATATGTCATAAAAATGTCATTTGGACTGTCTAGCTTTACAATAGTTGGGAATACGGAGAAATATTGTGAATCATACCTCTATTAAGTTGCAGAAACATATCAAAAACTCTTTTTTATAACTCGTTTGATATAATGGGTGTGAACAAAATAGTAATGACTACACATGTGTTACTAGACTTACTGGCTACGAACCTTTCCTAGAGGTGAATGGAGACACGTATAAGCGTGTAATAAAGGTAGAATACTCCTTTGATGACAACATCTGCTCAGAAATCAGTGAAAACGCAAAGGTAAGCTGTCCATTTGCAAATTCGTATCACGTCTACATTTGCGTGCCTCACATTAAATTGTTTGATGAAAAACCGACTTTTTTATACATTAAAAAATTGCCAGTGATTGGAGTTCTTGGAACTTAAACATACTTTGTTATTATCACTTGTATTTTTGTGTTAATATAAAAGGAAATGAAATACTATGATAATATCGTAAACTGTATAAATACAACGATTAAATAAGTGAACTGACGACTCTGTGATATCGGGATCCGGTCGTTGTTGTTATTGATATATATATACATCAAATATATATAACGGTTTAAGTTTTTAATGTATTACATCGACTTTGATGTTTTATTCGTGGCAGGACTTCATACGCAAGATGCTTCAGAAGGACCCGAAGAAACGATTGACAGCGACTACCGCCTTACGCCATCCCTGGGTACGAGGAGTAGCTGCAAAAAACACATGTCTTCTGCAGACACAGGAAAGCATAAAAGACTTTAATGCTAGACGGAAATTTAAGGTATGTTCTCATCTGTACAGGGTGTTGTTTAATCTGGAATCCAGATCTTTATTATTTGACGTAATTCAAGAAAAAAATTCATGTTAAGGTATTAGGTGCTTTCTTTATCTAACGTATTATCAAACACACGCAATATAGTGTCTTACCATGGGTACGGTAAATGCTTTACAAAATAACTGTTACAATGTAATCAAACATTCAACATAATTGTCTTGAACAGACTCGTATATCTGTAATGTAAGGTGTCATAAATTTGAAGGCAAACTGAGGAAGCCAAGACTAGACATTAAAAAAGATATTTGGTTTCCATCCTAATCTGACTAAAAGAGCCTTCGATTACTGTAGTGGAAACTATGGAAACGATGATAAATTTCTAATAGATATCATACTGCTGGGGAGTTTAAACTTCCACGCTGATCTAGAGTTGAACTTGGACACGGAACATAAATTTTACTGACCTGTTTTAGAAGCCCGAAGATATAAGTATGAATATCAGAAATGTTCAAACTCTGTGTAAAATTGAATTACTTGTCTGAAAGACATTTATGTATGTTATATATAAAGCATGATCAATAGTGTTTCACCAATCGCTCTTGTATACTTTCCATTTACACATACTGTTAAATTTTCACATTCGACACGTTAACAAGAACCAAATTGAGCACACGTATGGAGTTTAAAAAATGCTATATTGAGATATAAAAGTAGTGCAAAACAGATGTACTTTCAGTCAAACGATTTACCTAACCATTTTAGTTTTTGGTAAAGACGAAATCTAATATCGCATTTAGATGTTACTGCTTTAGGTGTCTTATGAAACTGTACTAAAAGTCGTGTATATTTCACCTTATATTTACATGTCATATATTTTGTCTTTTTTAATTATAAAACTGTTCCGAATCTAAACACCATTAAACATCTTCATATACCTTGATAGAGTGTCTGTATGCTTAAGCTGCAATTGGATCCACATTGTATACTTTTCATAATACATCCAAAGATTTTTAAGCTTTGTTAATGACTGCACTGTTGTCTGCAGCTATCTCGACTGAGGAAAATTTAACACGGAACATTTGAGTACGAGATGAAAAAATATTTTCTGGTCACCTGATCAATAAAATCCAATCAGATAATCAAAATTGATTATTGCATCAGGTTAATAAAGGTGAAACAGATGATAGCTCTGTGGATTCCGCCCCAGTGGTAACAGACCAAATGTCTGGACAATGACATGCTTAAACAGGGTGACATCGTGAGTACATTGGGTGGTCGCGTGTCACTGTACGGTATGGCTTGCACAACGTAAACAAGCTTTGATTGCACTATAAGCTGTAACATCTTGCTTTGTTTGGCTTTGTTTTAATAGCCATCATGTATGGTTTGCACCTAGGTTTTTCAGGTGTCTTCTACTCACGATCGTTGAGTGTTTGGTGCACGCAGCTGCATTGTTAGTCAAAGATATTACTTTCTGAATTGATTAAGATATTATTAGGAAGTCTCATGTGGGATAAACTACATCAATATTTAAATGTGGGATTTATATGGATTTATATTTAGAGTGTTAATGTTGTGAGATATTGTGATCGTTATTTTGTTGAGAACAACAATTTAAAAATACTAGGTCCGTTAGGTCCCAATATTTTGTGAGATATTTTGACTTTTCTTTGTAAAGTTGTCATGATCGTTAAGTGGATAGCATGCTTTAATGATAAGAAATCCGTTTATTGGAAAGGTTACATGCCATATCACATCTCACTTGAAAAAAACTGTCATGTCTTGTCTTGGATGGTACGCTTTCGATATTTTAAATATTTGTGGAGTGTTTGTAGTTCAAAGTCTACATAGTGTAGCGTGTCATTTTTTAAGTCAAAGTTTCCAATATGCTCTACTTTTAAGTTAAATGTGTATGCATTATGACTGATAGAACTGTCTACGATGCATAGCGTAACGTGTGGTTTTTTTTTTTTTTTTTTTGTATGGTTTGTAAGGTATATATAGTTTGGATAATAAAGTTGCCATACCACTCGATGTAACTTAACTTGAATATTGTTGTTATACATACCTTTCTTTAAACAGATTTTCATTTCTAGAAGTAGTTCTAATCCATATCAATTTTCCTTTTATACAATATGTGTATCAACTTTACTTGGATAACTATAGTTTGACGCCCATGTATGTTTACCTCCTATTAATAACCTAATTACATGAGAGGGGATACATTTCGGGAAACAAAATTAAGCAATCACTTAAAACATCTGACACCAAAAAATCGTAATACATACAAAGCTCGTCCTTTATAGTCATTGTAAATTTGAACACGTTTAATATTTCTGACGAAACCGTAATTCAAATAATTAAATATCCATTTTTTATCGTTTTGTAGTCCCTGACGCATTGTGCAATGCTTGGAGCCTGGATCACTCGGGACATGCCGGATAGATATACCACGTAGTATGGCGTCATTGTACAAATGCATCGATGAACATGTCTCATGATCACACTATAGTTACCATTATTTAAATAAAAAATAGAACGTCTTATTTACATTACCAAATTGTATACAGTGTAACTTTTTGTCAGAATAGTGACCTATTTTTGAAATGATATTCAAATTTTATTCTATATTAGTCTTAATAACTTCAAGGGAAATTCTAAGTAGGTTGTACTAATTATCATATGAACGTGTTTTGCACGGGATTTAAAGCGCTTCCTAACTTCGGTTGAAATATTGATCACGTGATTGTCAAACATAAGACTGACAAAATTTATCACTTATTCCGTCCTTTTTACCTACCAAGTATGAGGTTACATGAATAAACATGTTTTCCACTTGCATAACGTTCTTAGTATGGCAAACGCTGTCATTTGTCACTCCAAGATATTTATAGAATAGACTAAGAATAAAATAGGTCGCGTCAATTGTTGTTAACGTTTTAATATCTTGGTCTCCAAAAATAATATTACTGTAAACTTAGTTTTCTTCGCGTGCGATTTACTTTCGCGAATTTTGAGATCGAAATAAATTCACAGAAGTGAAGTAATAACGTTCATGTTAAGTGTACGCACAGAAATGTCTGGTTCTTGATATTTCATCATCAGGAACTTTCTGTAATTCCAAAATCGCTTAAGATTGCGGCTACGAGAGAAACAGGATTACTAGTAGTAACCAATTGGTATATGTTTTATGTGAATTATAAATGACAGTTTTTGCCTTTAGCATAATCTATCTGTGATATTTAGTGTGATATTTCTGGAGCATATATATTGAGTTTGCTCATGTACCTGATCTCGAAGTTTTCTGAATACTGTGGATAAAAGGGTAAGAAATAGATAAAAAGACAGCAAATATTCCGGAGCGCATTTCTTACTGGGATATAACATTAATTTAATCGCATTTCATGTTGACCTAAATGTTCCGCCCCTTTTACATGTTAAAGAACATGATTTTATAATCAAAATTTCACGATATCTCTAAAACTAAATGAGTAATGTGGTGGTCCTGCTGTTGTTAGGATCATCATGTTTGTGTTGTCCTTTACTGCATTTTCGCTGGTGATAACCTTGCCTTGGAATTTGTATGACATTTATCACGTGTGCACACTGTGATATACGGATTTCTAAAACCTTCAGGTCTTGATATGTTTCATATGTTGTCAGGTCTTGATTCTGGACTTATGTGATACGTATTGCATGTTGTCACTGATCTGTATGCACGTTTTAGTGGTACAACATGTTGCTGATCGGTGTGACCCGTATAATATATTTAATAGTCTTCAAAAATACTTATCTCATCCCTAAAACAAGTCATTGCAAGTTGATACGTACATCCAAGTTTCACAGTTGAATACGAAACCAATTCTTGGTAGGAATTTTTTGTAAAAGATTATAGATCTGAGAACCTGGAATCTCTGGCACGAAAACGGTCCTGTCTGCATGATAACAGTCGTTTATCTATCATCAACGATCCATGTACACAAGATGATTTTTTTGTGAGAGGAAAATTCGTTCGTGTTGGGAAAGCAATTCATATGACGAGGCTTTCATTTAATAACGATAAGTAAGATAAATTTGTATAAAATGGAAAACAGTGTGAGATTATATCCTAACTGAAGAATTACCAAACGAAATCAACAACTGTCCGTGATGTCATTTCGTTTATACAATTATCAGGATGATGTCATGACATCGAGTATTAAATTCTACAACATTATAATGTAATATATATATATTTATTAAGAAAAAGTGAATGGTATTTCTGAAAGTTGTTTTATCTATATTTTTGATAATGTTGCAAAGGAAAAACCTGAATTAGATATATTTACTTATTTCAATTATCTTGGAAAAGAAATCTCATTTTAGATATATATTCGGACAATCTTAAGATCTGTTAACAGTGCAGCATTGTTTGGTTGTTGATCTGATAATGTTTCCAAAGCTGAAATAAAGTATTTCAAATGAAAACATTTAGCTTTTTCTGTTAACGATGGTGGACAGTATTCTTGACAACATGAACATATTGACTATGGGGAAAATCAAGTGTACAGATCTAACGATAATGTGGCCACATCTACCGTAGATGTAACTTGACACTTAGTACTGTATAATACAAGAAATTCAAATGCCATTGGAAAGTACATAATATGTTTTAGCTTACCGTAACAATGTTTGTGGAAAAAACTTTAACAGATATTCATCCCTTTCTTCCGAGTTTTAAAGTCTATTCTGAATAACTAATTTCTAACCCGTAGTTCCAATATTCCAAATTCACGCACTTAAAGCTTATAATAAGAAAAACTATCAACTTATTGAAATGATGCAGAATTGTTATTATTATTATAAATCTTTGTAATGAAATAGATATGAAAGCAAGTCTATTATATGTTTCAATTAACAAGTGCAGAATCATCTCCCTTTACACTTTTAAATACACTGTTAGCTATCAGGCAATTTGATGCTGTAGGCGTTTTCTATAAGATTTGTTCACACATGAATAGTCAAATACACTTTATGGTAAAGAAGGATAATATCGACGGAAAACAGTGCTCATGAATCCATTGCTTTTCAATCAGATTTGGTAACTCTTTATCATAGTGTTCATTTTCGAATACATTTCGCTGAATAACTATCTCGTATGTTGCTATTTCAGTTAGCAACATATATGAATATTCTAAAATAATAACACAAAAAGCATCTGATACGAGATGTTGAAAAGATTTGAGATTTACTTAATTATTTCAAAGTTCTTTGAAATATTGGGACATACAATTTGTACATGTACATATGTTTGTAACATGTCCTGCAAAACGGACAAGTGGAATGTACGAAGAAAAATAGTTTGTGTTTTTCATGAAGCTATGAACATAAAAAGCGAACCTGAGAGTCTATCAGTTTTTATGCTTAACAAGTCGTTACTGTCTACGGGTATTAATTGCACACCAAATAAAATTTAACAGTAATTCAAAAATATATACTAATTGAGATTACCTCTCAAAAACAACTCCTTTGTCATTAAACGGAACAATAAGAAAAAAGATAGTAAAATTGCTATTCAACGTAAATTTAGAATCTAAAAGATTTGTATAAATTGATGTACAGGTGAGTAGTACTTTCAATACAAACCTTGAATTCGATGGTGATAGCATTAAATATAGGAGTTGTCTTTCTTGGTACTGTGAATGTTACGTTTTTAGGGTAATGATAATGCTTCCGTTCACAAGTAAAAGATGAATTCGAAAGAGACGAGGGCTATATCTTTCGGAAACAGATTTTCAAGAGAACTGGAGTTTTCATCATTTATTCTCCGATTTGTCTGCAGCATGCACCTGAGAATGACGAATTTGTTTACCACAATTATCGGTTGAACGGCGACCCTGGTGTGGGTTACTTATTTCCCTCTGGAAACAGTTCCATTTACATATAGATGAAGGTGGCATGTAACACTATATGCATAGACATCACTGATGGTGGCAATATCTTTTGTTCATGAACTGGACAACCAGTCTGCCACTACGCCCACAATGGCTAGGAAATGTGTACGATATCAGAACATCTTGATATTGGCTAAATTTGTATCTGGTCATCATCGAGCCTTAACCAAAATTTGTTATTGCTAGAATAACAATGTTTCGAGATGTTATGAAATCACCGAGAGACAATTCAGATATGCTATATTAAGTGAAACAACTGACCATTGTTGACTCTGTGGTATTGACACGTTAATGTTCGTACGA